TTGATAAGCATTGTTCAGGGCTGCCGTTCCCAAAAGCTTTAATGCTTTCTTATGATACTTTTGGGAAACGCAGCCCTGTTTGAATGCGCTGTCAGAAGTGAGTGAACGCTCTCTGTGATTGATTAGTTCTGTCTTGGAACATTTGCGTGTCCAGATGAGCAGGAAAATAGTTCTATCATACACAATTACTCGCTAACAAAGGTTATTCGCTATTGTACGAATTTTTGTGTTGTTAAATTAACAAAATCACTGGTAAATAAAATTTTTTTTGTTTGAGTATCGATACTTTCGATACTCGCATCAGTATCGATATATCGATACTTTGGATCGATACGCCCATCCCTACAAGCAAGCCACCTCTAGACTCATACCGAGAATTTAATATTCACCTCTTCATCTACTACAGAAAGGTAGAATAACACATTTTAGGTACGTTGCAAATACAGCGCATTCCCACCAGATGCCAAGTACTTTATAGCTACTTTCCAGTAACAAGTCATGTTGAACGATTGGGTAAAGCGCTTCCTGTTTTTAAACCGTCTCTCCAGACAAGACAAGACACTGTTAAAAAAATTAAGAACTGACGAAAGAAACCGCTCTCCCTAGCGCTGTGAATTAAAACGACCACTGCTGGCAACACAAAAATAAAACCGGGCAGTAATATACTATTCATCAAATGATCCTTGTCATTTACATTTATTTATTTCACAGTTTTGGGTTTTTGTGGGGTTTACAGTACAATGGTTTACAAAATTATCAACTAATTTACTGGCCAATGGAAGATCATTTTTGAACGACTGCACTAAAACATGTAGATCTATTTCTCAAAACAAGAAATACAACAGACTGTCTAGTATTAAATAGAACACCTCATTTGTTTAGTCACTGACCCATAACAAGTTATTTCAAACCTAGTAGGTCTAATGCAAGTCCACAGGTCACCTTCCCTCCTCCAAATCAGCTCCAGTTCCGCCTCCTGTCCTCAAAGGCTCTGGAGAACTGTGTGTACGTGACTCCATCATACTTTCCTCTGTTCCTGGAGCTTTTTGGGCCTGATGACTCTCTACCCTTTCAGCAGGGAAGCCCTTTCATCAACCTCTGTAGTGTTTCCAGCTATCGCTGAAGATTCTCAGCGTCTCAGGCCCATCAGTAGCTGCTTTCATGCCCCGTGAGGATGTACAAGTTGCTCATGGCAGACAGATCATCCGTAGGAGTACTTTGCAAGATAATATCCCTGTAGTAACATTAAATTATTAGTATATGATTCCATTTGTCTATAGACATGTTGCTAAGCTACAGTGGGAAGACATACCTAGTTGTTCCCAAAACCTGAAAAACCCGACTTCTGTCTGTGATCTCCTGGGTAACCTGAGGTAAACAGCATAATATTCCATCATTTCTTCCTTCCTCATACATCAGTGAAGTCATTATTGTTTCTAGACGTCAGGTTTACCTCATTAGTTTGTAAACTCCTTCCTTTCAGACCGTGCTTCCAGAAGGCAAGGACACTGTCCTGTAGACACACTACAAAGACAACCCCATTACCACCAGATGCAACAGAAAGAGGGCTGATTCTAAATAGACATAGCAAACATGATGGCTATCTAATAGCTACGACACACCAAGCTGACATCAAATAATTCACAGCGATGAAAGCCGGCTGTGTTATTGCCTCGTGCCATCTTCATCTGGGCTAAAACGTTGTGCTTCAACACACCACCTTGTGCTCTTGACTTCAGTTTTGTTTTTCTTCTCACACACTGGTTCACTAAAGCTGAACAGCCAATCAGGGTAATCTCTCTCAACCAACTGGCTCAACATACTCAGCAGCTGATTTGGGGAAAGGTACTTTTAAAAGTAATTAATTACGATATTGCGTTACTTAGTTACGTTTTATGGAAAGTAATCTGTGCTGGGCTTGTTTGTTTGTTTTTAAAGGGGTCATATGATGCGAGTTCAAGTTTTCCTTTCTCTTTGGAGTGTTACAAGCTCTTGGTGCATAAAGAAGATCTGTAAAGTTGCAAAGACTAAAGTCTCAAATCCAAAGAGATATTCTTTATAAAAGTTAAGAGTCATGCAGCCATGTCAGGGAGACCCTACAATAATGTACAGTATTTGAAAAAGAATGTGTTTTTTGAACATTAAAGCATGTCAACATATTCTGTTACACCAAATACACCAAATAATAATCTTTAAAATAGCATCATATTACCCCTTTAATATAAAAAAGTTATATTTTTGTCAAATTCACGATTTCTCTCAACATGGGGACAGGAGAGCTGTCAGTCAATAAATGGGAAAACAAAGTAACTGGCATTACTTATTGGAAAAAGTAACTCAGATATTTTCTTGTAAATTAAAAAATAATAGATTACTTATTTCAAGTAACTAGTAAAGTAATGCAATTATTACTTGTAATGCGTTACCCTAAAACTTCTCAATTGAAAGCTGTGGACAGTTCTCCAACTAGTGGCAATGGTGCAGAACAGACAGCCAAAACTAGGCCGAGAGATGCTCAAAGATGGCCTGGCATTGGCCTGATGTGTCACATCCTTCACAGGGCTTACCCAGCGTCTGAATGGGAAACTCAAATGCAAGTTCAGAAGTCTTCTGATGGCTCACACATCCCTGTAGAGTCACAACCTTCACTGTGTCTGAAACAAAATGGCTTGTTAAAGGATTTGAGTAGTGGAGTGGAAAAATAAAACAAGTTTTAGAGATGCGTTTTTAAAAGTTGAACATTGCACTTTTAGAATGCAGTGTCATGTATGAGACACTGCAAAAGAGCCGAGGCGTGAGCACAACAGTCAAACAAGTTTAAAAACAAAGGGTAATGGAATGGAAAAAAAGAAGCAAGGTCTAGAAATGCATTTTTACAAAGGCTCATGTGTCATATAGTGTGAAGTCATGTGGTGCAACCAACATGCAGAAAGAAACATGAAAAAGGACATTACAGCAATTACAGAGACAGAGGACATTACAGAGAGGACCCCAGAAGACCCTGTTGACCACTTAAAAACACCTACTGGCGGTTTTAGTGTCATATTTATTTTTCCACCAGCCAAGGTAGCAGCACAAAAACCACACTCAGCAAAATTATCGCATTAAAGTGCCCCTATTATGGATTTTTGAAAATTACCTTTCATGCAGTGTGTAACACAGCTCTAAGTGAATGAAAACATCCTGCAAAGTTTTAGATCTGAAAGTGCACCGTGTATAAAGTTAGTCTCTCAAAAGAAATAGTCGACTCTGAATCATTGAAACGAGTCGTTTTTAAAACGAATTCCAAGCCATTTCATGTTGACGTTAGCATATTGCCCACCAACTTGTTGGTCTTTTCACGTTGGTCTGAATGAAAATGCAAATTCATACTTTGCCATTGGGTGGAGCGGTAAAATAGCGGTTTCCCCGGTAATGCTGTACACAAAGCAGCACTGCGCTCACAAACGCTGCTTTATCAGGCATGATGATATTAAAATGAGACCAATCGGACCAATCACCGCAGATTAGCGTCACGCAAAGGAGGGGTTTGGAAAAATTAATCGTTGAGCGAATCGTTAGGGAGTCGTTGAGCAAGTAAGGTAAAAATAAATGCATATTATTAGACAATGAAAGTATTTTTTGACCTTGCATGCATGTCAACCTGTTGTTGGGGACTCACAAAACCAAAATATGAACCTTTCTTTACCCATAATAGGGGCACTTTAATTATCATTGTTGAAAAAATCCCCAAAAATATAGAAATATAATTTTTTTTGGTCAGTATCAGACACCCCTATTGAGTACAGGTGCATCTCAATAAATTAGAATGTGCAAGCGGATTTCCTTCACTCATACAAAACTGGACGTGTGCTTTTAACTATACATTGTTTTTTTATTTTATGAATTGGCTCTGCTCTCGCTCAGATACTGCGTGTGCACGCTCAAACGTTGTCCTCGCATCACTGAACACCAGAAGAGCTTTTTTTTCTAATTCAGGTGAAGAGTAGCCAAGGCTTTTCTTACTAAATGGAAGCAAACTGGTTATAGTCAGCCTTCTCTAGTTATTTATTTAATTATTTAATACTTATTTTAGTTAAGTGCTTAAATTGTAAATATGCATTTATTAAATTATTTTTTTCTAGTGCATTTGTATTTTGTTGTTTTTGTAGGCTATACAATAAAAGTGTATACCAACCAGAAATAATCACTGAGCGTGCTTCTGACATTAGTGAGGGTGCTCTAGTCTTAATGCACATTTTCACATATTTTGTCCCATCTATTGCTATGGTTATCAGACTTATCACTATGTCAATCACTACTACTTCGAGAGCGAATGCAGCATAAATATGCGGATGTCATTCCCGAAACTTTGCAACGTGTGTGTGGCCAAAAAACAAAGTTCTACATTTTAAATGGATTATTGCCTAGAAAGCTCGCAAAGAGCGCTCCTTTTTTAACCACTAAAAACTGTCACATTAGTTCATCGTGATCTCACAAAGTCGTGTAAACACTCTGTATGTTATAATGAAAGGATTCGATTGTGATCAGCACAGAACAAAAACTGGTGTGTGTCGCAGCCATTAGGTAAACCAGCATACATTCATGAGGATGATGAAAGTGTTTTAACTTGAGTAAAGTCCCCAGACCCCCTGCTCGTGACTCCCCCTGCCACCCCCGTACTCGTTCAAAACTGAGGCGATTTCTCTTTCTCCTTACGGTTGTGATACGTTTTCGACATATTATACAGACAGTCGTGTTACTAGAAAACATCAAGAAGCAGTTTCCGCCGTCTCCGCTATCCAATGGAGCCGTACATAAACTACTTCAGTCTGTGTGCACTGAATTTATTTAATACACGAGTTTCACAATTTGAGTTGAATTACTGAAATAAATGAACTTTTCCACAACATTCAAATTTATTGAGATGCACATGTATACATACAAAGTGCTTCAAATGTCTCCGTGAAAACAAGCATTTCTTACTTTTCAGTGCAATGAGAACGGTGTCCTTGTCAAGCTGAATCACTTGCTTGACCTCCTGAGACTCCCCATCTGTGAAGTCACATAACTCAGTCAAGCAAAACACACCGCTGATCAGTCTATGTCACTGTGGCAATGCAAATCATAAAGCTCACTTGAAATATTCTTCATATAAATAGTTGATTTTGTAAAAAAATCATGATGTATATCCACACATATGCAGCACCTGGCAGACTTTGCGGCATGTCATCCAGGTGGATGATGTCAAAGTGCATCTGTCCAGTGTTGTCTTTTTGGCATGGACGGCTTCTCACCCCCACACAGACCTGTGGTAGCTCTTCTGTTTCATTTACGAGCAGCTCAAAGATGGGCAGAGACTCTGGCAGATTCAGAGCAATGTGCTGAGAGAGAGAGAGAGAGAGAGAGAGAGAGAGCGAGAGAGAGAGACACAGGAAAATGACGCAACAGTGCGGATATTTTTAACATTTCTATCACTTTTATCTCTCATTTCTCACCTTGAGCTGCATGAACTTCTGCAGAGGTTCATACCACATTAGAAGAACCAAACCAGTGGGAACAGCAGCACAAAGGAAAACGCTGTCAGTGTAGGGGTTTCGAACTAGAAGCAGAGGATCAAACATTAAAACGTGCACGAAATGCTTAGAGAATGATTCACACTCCTACAGAGGTCACTGGTCCTCACCCACACTGCATCTTCTACAGCCCTTCGTGTCTGGGATCTTTACTGACATGGCGTACTTCCTGGAGAAAGATAATAATTACCGCCATTTAGCAGACCCTTTAATCAAAAGGAACTGACTAAAGACAAAGATAAATTAAAATTCTACAAACCTTGCATTTATCTTTGTGCTCAAGCGGTGTGCATTAATCGCGAGATGCCCCTGTCTACGCTGCATATTCCTGCGGTACTCAAAAAGTGCTGGCAGACTATGAGAAATCAACTGTGATGACTTTCCTGTGGACAGAGGACAGCGGGGCACCAGCCAGAGAGTTAATCAAGACATCAGATCTTCGTGGTACATTAAATGCAGTCATATTAATAACATTGCACATGCCTGAGACGGACATAAGGACATTGTTCATCACGTACAACCAACTGCATTTCTGAGAAAGCAACTGGAAAAGAAAGAAAATCTTACACTCTTTCATGGGACATTTGCTCTAGTAAATAATGGAAGAAAAAATCTAAATAAAAATGGTGATATAACTTTATGTAACTTTGTATTTTGTAATGGTGCCTGTATATCATAATGTGACTTTATTATTCTTATTTTTCTTATATTACTTTTCTTTTTTAATTAAAGGGTCCACAAATAAATAGAGAAAAGACAATATGGCTACCTTTTCAATGGTGTCCTCATGGAGCTCATTGAGGTTGAGAGTGTAGATGCCCTCCTCAGCACCCAGCATAAGGTATTGATCTATGAGTAAATATCAGCATATTGGCCTTATTATAACCAAAGTCAAGACAGACACGGTTGCAAATATTTTGCAAATAAAATTAATAGAAATTAGCTTATACATATGATAGTAAAATAATTTTTCAACATGGACGGGGAAGTGGCTGAAGTAGTTTTGAAGCACAACCAAAATAAGACGGGGGTGTCCATCAACAGTTATTTCATCTAAAAATGAAACCGGAGAGATTTCTGTTCCTCCATTAAAGTTCCAGCAAAACTTTCATGCTTCAAAACATTCATAAAGACATTCTAAAAGTAATCCATATTAATAGAGCAGTGTTGTGGAGTGATATGATCACTTTATGTGATTAACAGATTTAATTAAGGCTTTTATTCACATAAAAAAGCGTTTCTCAATGCACATACATACATCACATCAATATAGTAAAGGGAAGCTCAACTCTACTTGCTTTACACGCAAGAATGAATTTCACTGGTTCTCGCATGTCAAGCCCACGCTTTCTGAGTTTCAGTTTACCATGTTTGATGCGCTCTATGTACATGTGTGGATCAATGTTTATATGTGTATAAAGCCTAAATTAAATCTGTTCATCGCTAGGGGTGGGAATCTTTAGGCATCATATGATCCAATCCGATTACGATTGTGCGAATCATGATCCGATTTTAAAATGATTCTTAATCAATTTTTTCTTATTAAAGGGGTCATGAACTGAGAAACAAAAATTCCCTTGATCTTTTGACATATAAGATGTCATTGTACTATAAAACATCCTGTAAGTTTCAGAACTCAAAACTTTCTCGTTAGTCAAAAAACTGCTTATATTGAAGCCAGTCTGCCAAAATGACAGCTTGTGGAATATGCCACTTTATGACATAATAGTGTGGCTAAACCCCGCCTCTGCAGAAGTAGATCAACACCTGCTTCTACATCGCTGCCTGTTTAGCCCCACCCACCGATTTGCATAAGTAGTGTTTACGAAAGAGGCACATGCGGAGCTTGCCTAGATTTGAAGAAAACCAGATGCTGTTCATTGCCAAGTTGTGGAAAAAAAATAGTCTTTGCATTGCCTTCCTTCTGATCCTAATGTTAGGAAAGAGTGGATGAACTTTATTTTTAACAAAGTTCCAGACCGCGTCAGTTAGAACCGTGTCTGTTGTTCACCGCAGATTCGTTTACAAACAAGGCACAATTTGACGCGGGATTTTCAGAAAGATTGAAACTGAAAGACGATGCCGACTATATTGGATCCGACAGCAATGTCGCAACACACAAGTGTGATGCACTGTTTTTATCACATGATCACTATTGCTTTGTCTGTTAAACAGATCGTTTGATACGAGTATTCATGTAGTTTTAACCTAAATCACTGCAGCGTCCATCTGTCAAACATACACAACTGTTAGCCAATCATAGCAGTGGGCGTTTACTTCCGAGTCTACAATCCACCACGCCTATTCAAACAGAGCGTTCTGATGAGGGGGGTTAAAAGCAGGACAGAAAATAGCCTATTACTAACAAATTATGATGTTTTTTGATGTAAAAATCTTGATAACATTATAAGTGGACCTCAGAGAACGGTACAAAATAAAAAACAGAGGCAGTTCATGACCCTTTAATTAAATAGTGTACAGACTTAAATAATTAATAATAAGCAAATGAATAATAATACATAAAAACCAAATTAATAATAAATCAAAACAACTGTATTTTAAGATTGATCAACTATACTAAATATAACAAAAAATTGCTTCAAGCAAATATAAAGTAATAACGGATACAAAATCACATTATAAGCAATAAACAAAAAGTGCTTTAAATATGTGAAAGGCAGTGAAGGATTGTTCTTTTTTTCTCAGCATTACTGCTGTGTGTTTATTACTGATGACATAACAGACATTCACACTAATGCACAAATCTATTTTAAAATGCCAGCTATTTTGTCCTGCTACTGACCTTGTTTTTCGCTTTAACCACAAAACCATATGTTTTTATACTTGTTGTTTGATGGTTTTGTGGGTGTTTTTGTGTGTAACTTGCAGCAAGCAGAAAACGGCTGTCTCTAGTGCTCACAATTCTATTAGCAAACTTCACCTCTGGTCTTTGGTAGAACCCATGTAACAGCACATTGAGTCTTTAACGGACAGCCATTGAATACTTTAGAGAAGCAGGCCCCCATCTGGAAGACAATTTATGATTCATTACAGAACAATAAGCATGAAATTAGAGCACGCAATAGAATTAGAATCATGTAATTCTCTGTACATACATGTACTTGTGGTGTAGGTGGCAGTCCATGGACAACCTTCTGGAATCAACGAAAACAGAATGCAGTGAGTGACCAATGATAGATTGCATTTTTCTCAACATTTTAATACAAAGGGCCAAAAATCTAAAGTAAATAATGCATTATATCCAACTATAACTATAATGTATTAAATTACATTTTTTAAATGATTTTTAATCAAATGCAAAGATAAAACAAAAATTGTTAAAACAAAAATATAAATTAGAAATGAAGATATGTTTCAGTGGCATGTCCCCCCCCTTCTCTTGTGATATGGCATGGTGGGCCAAATCAAAGGTCATCATGGGCAACTTTGGCCCACAGGTCTTGGTTTGGACATCTCTGGTTTAAACAGATTCTCATCAAGGTCAAAGGACAAATATGGTTTGACCTACGTAATCTACTCACCGAGTTGTCTGGTTTCCTTCTGAGAGTACTCCATTCTGGGGAGAGGGGGGGGTCATGTGGCGGGAAATTACTCCTGGTTCTTCCTGGGTCTGGAGCAACAGAGCTCTCTGCTATCAAACCTGTTCAACACAGCGGCTGCATCAGCGTTTGGATTTTAAGCAGATATTATTTGTGTTCTCTTTTTATACATGTAACACTATATTAATCTCACTGGATGCTGTGGCCTATTAACAGGTCAACATCTGGGATGAACAACCAAAAAGCTTTAGATTCAAACCATGAAAGAGATATGCAGTTGCTAACGGGATCTGAGTGAGTTGTTGCATGGTTTTTAAGGAATTTTGCGTGGTCTTAAGTGTTTTTGGTTGTATAAACGGACAAAGGTGGTATATTCCACTCAAAAATAATAATTCTCTTATTATTTACTTACCCTAATGCCGCCCCAGATCTATGAGACTTTATTTCTTTAGATAACCGCAAACAACAATTTATAAAACAATAATCCACTCTATGACTCCATGTAATGCAAAGTTGACACTTCAAAAACCACAAAAATGGGACAAATCCACATCAAAACTATAGAGGTGTGTGTAAGAAAAAGAAACTATAAACCATCGTTTCTGGCTCATCTAAAGAAAGAAAGTCATATACCTCTGAGACAGCTTGAGGGAAAGTAAATGATGAGTGAATTTTCATTTTTGGGCAGAGTATATCTTTAACAGGATAAAAGCATAAAAACATACAAAATCAGTTTTGTGAAGAAGTGTAAGCTATTAGTGATGTTGGTCTTACTGTCCATTTAACATTGCTAATACTAATTAGTAAAACAGTATTCTTATGGAGCGAATCTCCATATTATGGAGTGAATTTTGTGCCAATATTCATCAAACAAATCCAGCGTTTTGTAAATAAACAATCTGCTTTGCAAAGAAAAACTCGACTTTCAAACAAACGCAAAGTTATTTGCAAATACAAAACTCTATTTGAGAGAAAATGCAGAGGTATGGACAAATATATGTATTGTGTGTTACAACTGAGACTCATTTGCCTTTTAATGAGGAAACTTGGCTTGATTTTCTCACAAATGCGGAGAGACAGATTTTCTCACAAATGCAACACCCGAAACACCCGTTTACATTTTCAGACCAATATGAGTAGGGAACAGGCGAGTTTCTGTCTTACTATATCTATAATTGAACAAAGCGACCCTACTACAATGTCAGTGACATTATATATATTCTGCTTTAAAAGTGTGGTCATTAGTACATACTCATGAATTGACGTATATCTCACCTTCAGTTGGTGTTGAGCAAAGGGAACCTAGACTGGTGGAATGACTGAGGAAGGAGGAGTCTGTGAAGAGGGAAGAGTTTGTGAGGAGTGACAGGTCAGACAGTGTTGAACCAATCAGCAAAGCGGATTCATTGAGTAGGGCAGGGTTAGTGTCGGAGGGGGGGCCCTTCAGAGGCGCAGAGCCAATAAGAGGCGAGGAGACAAATTGATTGGTGACCGTTGTTGATTGGGGAGAAGAGACCACTTTCTTCACAGTCCCATATTTATCCTCTTCATCCAGTGAGTGCTGTGGATTAAACACATACAGTAAATCATCTTATTCTAAAAGACATTTGACTTTTTACACTTTTATTTTATTGTTCCCCTACCTCAGCTGAAGAGCCTCTCTTTATAGTCAAACTCCTGTAAAAGAGGAAGCAAAATGTTAGTCATTTCATCATTTTAGTTATGCGTTAACCTTCTCATGTTATTAATTATAAAAGGGTGGTGGTAGGAATGTAGATCTACTGTTAGCTTTGTGGGGACAACAAACATAATATTTATATTTTAATAATATTATTTAATCATTTTAAAAATGATTAAAATACAATCTATTTTTCCTAATTGTTTAGATACATTAACATTTTGCTCTAAATTTGAAGCAAAACAATTTAATTAGCTAAAATGTCATATTTTTATTGTTAAAAATATATGAATATTCTTAAAACTTAATACAGGGAAATTTCTCTGATAAGAAAGAATGTAAGGTATTAACAAGGTGGTAATCAAATATATTTCGGAGACCAAAGGGGTCAAATTAAAAACAAGAAGCTTAAACAAAATAATAAATATACCATTTAATATTTTTTACTGTAATATAAAATATAATAATTTTAATAGGGTTTCCAAATGTTTCGTTAACCAAAAATGTTATGCAAATAGATATTTTCATTCTAGTGAACAGAAATCACATTTGACTTAGGAGAAAACCTTAGAAGCAATCAACTAAACATAAGTACTCTCATTATTAAAAAAAAGAAAAGAAAAAGAAAAAAAAGCCAGATCACCTTTCCATCAAGGCCTCTTCCACACACTCTAACAAACTCCTGCAAAATAAATAGTAAAAAAAGCAATGTAACCCTTAAAACTCCTGTTTCTGAGAAGGCCTTATTAGTGCTTCTTAACAGCTTAATTTAACAATAAATTGATCAAATTAGATTTTGATCAGTGATTGGAGGATGTCAAACCCCTCAGCCAATCAATATTTTTGAATGACCTACATGCATTAGCAGATCAGGCATGACATTTACTACGGTCACCATTATTTTAGATGAGCAAGAGTGAAATATAACCCACGGTGAGTCCTTGTCTTCACTGATAGCGCTCCAGCCATCATACGCCCCCTAATGAAGAACAGAAAACCAGTATGTAATTCCATAAGCATTGTTTTTTCATTTCTTTCTTTTGTGGAACAAACATTTTCAAGTTTGGTGCTTTTGTGTTCTTATTGTTATTGTATGGAAATGTGTGATCCGTACATTATTAGAAACTTCTCCTTTTGTGTTTCACAGAAGAAACACGGTCATACAGGTTCAGAAACTGGTTACACCTTATTTTAAGGTGCCCTTGTTACAGTGCAATTATACATTTCAGTACTTAGTAATATTAATAAACTACATGTACTTACTATATAGAAATGTATTCAAGTGGTGTTTCTCATCAAAATTCAATCTGGGATTCATTTAATCTGCAATAACATACTGCTAAAATAACTAATAGCAAAAAAGATGTGTATTAGAAAATGAACTTGACTCACATTGCTCTTCAGACTGAGTTCTCTGAATGGGAAGTTTCGCTAGGGAATGAATCTTATCAGGTAGGACACTGCACGTCTGTAAACACACAGACACACAAACATGGACATAAACTCTGAAGTCACATTAAGACATTTTAGCTTACAGCAGAGGTCTATATTACATATTGTAAAAAGGGGCATAATATGTCTCCTTTAATAAACAGAACTGCATGCATCTTGCGGAAGAACATTGTAGCTGGAGCTACTTCTCTCCGTTTATGAATCATGCAGGTAGTGGGCTACTCCGCAGCGGTTCCTACCAGAACCAGTCTAAAATAGTCTGAATATAAAAACATATTATAGGTGTACCTTAGTGATTCAGGATAAGCCAAAAACATGGATTGGAAAATGGATTTGTGATGTACTCTCTTATTATATAAGTTTTGTCAATTTTGAACAAAAAAAAAAGTTATGGACTGCAGCTTTAAAGCCATGGTACTGTCTATGTATCATTTTGGCGTTTGATTGCTTGAGTATTAAAAGTGTGCATTTTTTGTACCATTTGTGGCACCAAACAGAGCAGCAAAAATAATGATTCCTGGGTCAATGACAAATGAGTTTTAAGAAATGTACGCTTTGCATTCAAGTTGATTTCATATAGTGGTTCATATAATTCAATAAATAAATAACAAAAAATAGAAAATGACTTGTAAACTTGTAAAAGTCGAAAGTAATAACTTTTGATTTGTAATAATAAATACATTTTGTATATTTTGAAAACGTGTTTAGACCTCAGTTGTTATTTTCAAAAATGCTATATATGTATATTTTTATATCATAAATGTATATTTTTCAAGCTAAAAAGCGTTTTTTTGTTGTTTTTGTACAGCAAATCACATTCATTTGATGATTTTATAGGTATTAATAATAACAATTATTATTTCAACATCATTACATTATTTTGGGTGTTACACCACACCACCGTCTTATTATAATTATTTATTATTATACTTTTTAATTATTATTATTATAATATTAAAAAAAATTCAAGAAATGAATCCTCGTTTAATTTTTTTCTTCATTTTGATATCAGGATTGTTGTATGACATTTCACCCTGACATTTCTGAATTGATGCCCCCTAAAATAGTTTGAAAATGTATTATATTTTTAAATAAATTAATAGATTTGGATAAACAAATGAGCATTATGTCACTGATCCTGTTTCCAAAAGTTTTTTTCTAAATATGATGGAGATGTTAGTTTGCTCAAACAAACAAACAGCAGTTTTAAGCGCCACAGAGCCAGTTTTTACACTTTTCACAAAATCAGCCTAGTCCTCACACTGAAGTGGAATTGGGAGAAAGTATTTTAACACACTTCAGCTTTAATCTAAAGTGTTCTGAAATGAAATATTTGCCCCCATTTTATCGTCACTGCGCTCAATTCACCTCCAGGTCACTCTCATCCATAGTGTGTGTCTGTTGCAGATCAGGGTTATTGATGGCATCCAGCAGCTCTATAACAAGGTTACGCGTGAGGAGCTGCGTGACAAAAGCATGCTGAAAAGACAGAGGAAAAAAATATGTCATTTTAGTAATAAGAACAGCATCAAGAGGCCCTACAGTATATTAAAGATAAACCACAAGGATGTCACATGAGTAAAATGATATTTAACACAGATGTGGTTAATATGTACCTGTAAGAGTTTTTCTGCTGTCGGCCTTTTCCGAGGGCTCTTCGTAAGCGCCATTTTGATGAAGTTGTGAAATTCTGTGGACCTGATAAATAAACATACTTTTATTGAATTTGCAAACTCAATACTTCAAAAATCAAGTTACATTTCATGCATATTACCATTTGTTCTTGTCTTTGAGTTTGGGAGGCTGAAAACTGCTCTTGGACATCAGCATCAAAGCTCTGAGGGCAAAACAACAAAAAAAGTTTGTGTTCTCCGCCGCCCAACCCACCGCCAAATCTCATTTCAACCTTTCAACCTAAAGGACAATGTCTATGAAACGTTGCGTCTTTTTGTTTGAGTTTTCTGCAAGACAAGCTTACATCACTCTTTGCAGCATGTGAAAACATGGGGTTAGTTCACCCAAAAATGAAAATTCTGTCATTATAACTCACCCTCATGTTGTTCCAAACCCCCAATACTTCAAAAATCAAGTTACATTTCATGCATATTACCATTTGTTCTTGTCTTTGAGTTTGGGAGGCTGAAAACTGCTCTTGGACATCAGCATCAAAGCTCTGAGGGCAAAACAACAAAAAAAGTTTGTGTTCTCCGCCGCCCAACCCACCGCCAAATCTCATTTCAACCTTTCAACCTAAAGGACAATGTCTATGAAACGTTGCGTCTTTTTGTTTGAGTTTTCTGCAAGACAAGCTTACATCACTCTTTGCAGCATGTGAAAACATGGGGTTAGTTCACCCAAAAATTAAAATTCTGTCATTATAACTCACCCTCGTGTTGTTCCAAACCCCTAAGACCTTCGTTCATCTTCAGAACACAATTTAAGATATTTTTGATGAAATCTGAGGGCTCTCTGACCCGCCCATAGACAGCAAGGTAACTACCACCAACGACTTTATTCCACATGCTCGCGTCATGGTACTGTCGTGAACGCGCATCCAAAGTGACGCAATAGAGACGAAAATGTGGAATAAAGTCGTTATTTTTGTTTTCTTTGCACAAAAAAGTATTCTCGTAGCTTCGTAACTTTACAGTTGAACTACTGCTGTCACACGGATTACTTTTTCGATCATCTTGGTACTTTTCTAGACCTTGAACGTGGTAGTTACCTTGCTGTCTATGGGAGGATCAGAGAGCCCTCAGATTTCATCAAAAATATCTTAATTTGTGTTCTGAAGATGAACGAAGGTCTTACAGGTTTCGAACAACATGAGGGTGAGTAATTAATGACAGAATTTTCATTTTTTGGGTGAACTAACCCTTTAATGGTGGCGTAAGCAATTTTCTATTTTTGGAATAGCATGTTTCGTGTTTGCCAAGAGGTCAAGGTTTGACTGGTTCAGACTGTGTAAACTGAGATAAAGATAGCACAAATAAAACAAATGAAATCGCTTACTGCACCTTTAACAAAGGGGAATGTATTTTGGAGTGTGATTGCTCTCAAAGAGTGTCAGTACTTTTGAAAGGATCTGCATAAGTGTACATTTGTGTGTGTGTGTGTGTGTGTTCACACCTCATGGGGTGTAGGTCAAACATAGGCGGCTGCAGCTCTGCTAGTTCAATAGCTGTGATACCCACTGCCCAGATGTCACACAGCTGGTTATAACCCCCTTTCCTTTCCACTGCCGCAACCTCTGGGGCCATCCTGAGGAAAAATCATCACAGTAAAATATAAAAGAAGCAAATAACAAAGCAATACCGGATTGGATTTTTAATATGACTCATTATTCAATTATCCTGCTTTACTTTTTTCTTTTTTTTTACCCAAAATGGTATTAAATATGCAAATATAAAATTTATTTCCAGGATGAAAACTGGATTCTGCTCTTTGAATTAAATTTTGACAACAATGTACACTACTATTTGAAAGTTTTGCATACTGTGTCATAAACTATTTTAGTATTATATTTTAAATAATAGTATGCTACTACTATTTTCTTTATACACGGCCATTCAAAAGTTTGGGATCAATAATTTTTTTTTAAGAATTTAAAGAAATGAATACTTTTATTCAGCAAGGACGTGTTAAATTGATAAAGACATATTGTTAGAAAATATTTATTTTTAATATGCTGTTCTTTTAAACTTTTCATTCATCAAAGAATCCTGAAAAAAGTATCACAGGTTTAAAAAAATAAATACAATTAAATAAAAATTAAGCAGCACAACTGTTTCCAACATTGAAAATAAATCAGCATATTGATAATAAATCAGAATGATTTCTAAAGGATCATGTGACACTGAAGACTTGAGTAATGGCTGATGAAAATTCAGCTTTGCATCATAGGAATAAATTATATTTTGAAATGTAATAAAACAGAATACTGTTGTTTTAAATTGTAATAATATTTCACAATATTACGTTTTTTCTCAATTTTTGATCAAATAAATGCAGCCTTGATAAGCAAAAGACACTTCTTAAAATAAAAAAAAATAACAATCTTGCTGATCCCAAAGTTTTGAACGGCAGTGTATATTTTATAATCTATATAATTTGTTATTCACTTTCATATATATTCATTTATATACACTACAATTTGAATTTAGGGTAGGTGTATTTATATTTTTATTCAGAAAATATGTATTAAACTGATCTAAAGTGACAGTAAAGACATTTACTGAAAAAGAATCCTGAAAATAATGTATCACTGTTTCCACATACATCAACTGTGATAATAATCAGAAATGTCTCTTGAGCACCAAATCAGCATATTAGAATAATCTTCTCTGTATGGTCATGTGACACTGAAGACTGGAGTAATGATGCTGAGAATTCACAGGAATAAATTACATTTTCAAATCTATTAAAGTAGAAACCAGTTATTTTTAATTGTTATATTTTATAATATTACGTTTGATCAAATAAATGCAGTCTTACTGACTCCAATCTTTTGAATGGTACTGTAAAAAAACAAAAAACCAATAGCACAGTGTTTACAAAAGTACAATATCTTGGTCACTCATCACCAGTATGGTGTCCCGATAAAGGACTTTCTCTTAGCAACAGATGCGTTGATCTCAGCTGCCACTCCAAAATCCGCTGCCAGACAGAGGGGAGACAAAAGCCCACATTTAAGAGATTTATGGTGTATTAGTTAATACATGCATATGTGTGTTTACATGTGAGGGTCTGAGACAGGGTAAACCCAGACTGACCTAGTTTGACATCTCCTCGCTCTGTCAAAAGGATGTTAGCACCCTGTGGGCAACCAAGAATGACACAATGAGCACATCCACGCTATCATCTCACATTGTGCTGTGAAGAAACTCACTCATATACAGATGAACTCTACTAATGAATATCAAACACACTGCATGGCAACATGGTTATAGGCAATTACTTTTACGTCTCTATGCATTTTTCCCGCTTCATGGAGATGATGTAGTCCCTGTAAACAAACAGAAAACGGCAAAATAGCTGTGATAATAAATAAATGGGATTTATATGAAATTGCTAACCTGCTGTCATTTTTAACCTTTTTACTAACCTTTAACCCGGATTAATAATTAATCCTGGGTAGAAAGGTACTGAGACTTCACACTGTGCATTTGACAAGGTTAACATTTCATTGTCTTTAGCTAAACAACTCGCCATACAATTTTAGCACCATACTGTTGTAACATTGTACACCTTTGTCACCGCATTTCAGGGTTAGCTCTTCCCCCGTTTGGAAAAACAATGGGAACCAAATCATTTTGGAGTCTACTGACCTCCATTGTATAGAAAAAAACAAAACACTGAGATATTTCTCAAAACAGAAAGAAAGTCAATTTTCATTTTTGGGTGAACTATCCCTTTAAAAAGGGTCAAGCATAACGTCAAATGCTTTAAAGGGTTAGTTCACCCAAAAATGAAAATTAGCCTGCATTTTACTCACCCCCGAGGCATCCTAGGTGTATATGACTTTCTTCTTTCAGACAAATCCAGTCAGAGTTATATTAAAAATGGTCTTTGATCTTTCAAGCTCTATCGTTGCACTCAGCGGGTGTTGCACTGCTTCAGTCCAAAAGAACTTAAATAAAAAACGCCCACCCATAAAAAAAAATGTCTCACACGGCTACGGGGGGGTGAACAAAGGCCTTCCATAGCGAATCGATGCTTTTGTGTAAGAAAAATATCCATATTCAAAACGTAATAATCACTTTAATGTAGCTTGCACCAACAGTTGTACACAAAAGCAGCTCCGGGCAGATGACGTATGAGTTCAGTGTTGCGCATGCGCCAGTGAGTCTCGTGAAAACCAACATTTGTTTACAGAATTAAAGGAAGCAAAGTTTCCTTACTTTAGCAAAGGAAAACCAGTCTCCTCTTGGCTTATATCGAAATCCTCTGACATTCCTCTTTACAAATCCTCGTTTTGTACTTATAATTCTTGACCGTTGTTTTGTTTTAATAACCCCGCATACGTAATTCCCCCAGAACTGCTTCTGTTTACAACAGTGAGCGCTAGCTAGATTCAAGTGATTGTTATGTTTTGAATATGGATAATTTTCTTACAAAAATGCATCGATTCGCTACAGAAGGCCTTTGTTCACCCACCGGAGCCGTGTGAGACACTTTTTTTTTTATGGATGGGTGATTTTTATTTCAGTTCTTTTGGACTGAAGCAATGCAACACCCGCTGAGTGGCATTAAACAGCTTGAAAGATCAAAGACAATTTTTTATATAACTCCCGACTGGATTCGTCTGAAAGAAGAAAGTCATATACACCTAGGATGCATCGGGGGTGAGTAAAACGCAGCCTAATTTTAATTTCTGGGTGAACTAACCCTTTAATGGGATAAAATAAGGGATAAAACCCTTTAAACCCTAAAATTAGGGTTCACCTCACTGACTTCCATACATTGGAAGTCAGTGAGGACAAGCAATTATTAGGTCACCCACATTCTTCAAAATATCTTCTTTTGTGTATAGCAGAAGAAAGACATTTCTACAGGTTTGGAATAAAATGAGGGTGAGTAAACGACACCTGTAAATGAGTAAATGACAGAATTTAAATTTTTTGGGTGAACTGTGCCTTTAAGGAAAGAATACAACAAAAAATTACTAGGATAATTTAAAAATAACATAACTGAAATCCCTTCTGATTACCTCGTGAACCTCAAATGAAAAAAAAACATTATGCAAGATGTGAAAGCATCCTCACCTGAAGCGTCTCTCTGCTCACATAAGCTATCTGTCTCTCTTTCAGAGGACCAGTGACTGCAGAAACACAATGACCTCATTTAGACTCACACAAGCATTAATTCTCTATCAGGCTATATAAATAACAACAGAAACCACCGCAAACATATTTGAAGGCTTCTTTCTGAAACCATTAAACATCATGACTTCAGCTTTTTTTATCCAATAAACTAAGCAAAAAATAATTGATGTATTAATTGACTATTTTCAGCAAAATCTATGTACAGTAATTGAAATTATATACATTAATGTAACATATTAGATATATGCCAATTGTACCATGATAAATATCCTGCAATGATCCTCCTCCACAGAATTCCATGCAGATCCATAACTTGTTATTTCTGTGCAATATGAAGAAGTTTGTTGTTAGTTTTACTTCAGTTTTCTGCAAACTGCAGTATTAGTTTCTTGCGTGACTGACCTGAGGTAGCTGCCGAAATAGGCCACAATGTTTTTATGAGTGCAATCCTTCATCATAGTTATTTCATGTTGAATGCTTGAGATGTCATCACCTGACAGAAAAAGAAACAGAGGTCTCGTCTGTAATTCTACTTCGCAATCAGTAACACCTCAACATAATTCACAAGAGCAGAAATTCAGATGCTGCAGTGAATAATTCAGCATTAAACTGAATTTACTTTACCAGGGTCCAGTTTGACCACTTTAATAGCTGCGATGACTGAGGTCTTAATGCTACGGGCCTATAACGACAGAGAAACAAGTTAGTGGTTATGCAGATCAAATGCTTCTACAAATAAGCAATGCATGTCGACATCAGACCTTTGCATCAGTCAGTTACTGACAAAATTCCTCCTGGTTCTTTTGAAAGATCGCTTGTATCGAGCCACCACAACATTTATTGTGACAACAGCAAGTCAAGCGGTCTGCCTCCGCTCAAACCTCTTATGATTTGTGAGGCACATTATGTGCCAGTGCGGTCTGCGAAAGACAGAAAAATGAAGCTGTCTGCCTGTAACCATGGTAACCAGCAGCCAATAGTGGATCAGCAGACACTGGAAAGGTGAAGTAGAGATGAAAAAAAGTAGCAGTGCTCATTTCCTGTTTTCTTTCCTGCTGAACCAAATCATATCCTGTAATGTGTCTTTCTCCGTTATCAAGGCCATGATTCATGTTTGTTCAGACAGGGTGATATAAATGGACAATCCACCAAATCAGGGCACAAGGCCACCGTTGGATACTCTAAACAAACATTTCAGAGAGACAAAATGTGCATACCGAGTTTGCAAATCTTTTTATTGTATGCAAAAATATGTTTTTCACATCCTGTTATTTCTGTTGCACGGTATGCCACCATGACCAGTTCGGTTCATAGAAAGTAACAAATTCCAGTTTAGTATCATGGTTTCTTTTTCATAAGGAAGCAACCCACAATGCATACATGTAGAATCGCATGTTTTTATGGTGTTAAACAACATGCCAGCACCACATGGGCGTTACTGAACATCAAAGTCAATGGGGTGTGAAAACTGAAGTCATAGTACAGAAATCTAGCGTAGCCGTTAGTTCTGGCAGGTCACGTTAGTCAAGCTCACATCAGCTGACTCTCAGCTGATCCCCATCAACCTATGGGAATACGACACCTATCCAAGTATTCATATATAAGGTCCCGCAGTAGTATCAGCAGTTTTCGCATTGCTCAATAGCTAATTACCCTCCTCCATCCCCAACTCCTCCTCTGTCAGTCAGGATTCAGCCTTCTGATTCTCCTTTGAATCAGACTAATTCTAAAATGTGTACATAACATTATTGAACTTTAACGATATCTGCAATACATTTATGTTGGTTCTGTTCTGTTTACCCTGGGGGGGTTATCGCTGCTCTCCCTGCTCTCATCCATGCTAGGCGGCATGGATGCGGAGGGAGTTCTTGCCCAGAACGGAACCATACCACCAATCCAAACTGTATGCTAATTGTCAATCATCTTTGAGGATAGTGATCCTGACAGAAACATGGTCAGACAGTCAGTACACGCATCACTCAAAAGTTATTATTAGTTCCTTTAAAGTGGTCATATGATGCGATTTCAAGTTTTCCTTTCTCCGTTACGGCCAATCAGAGCAGACTGCGCTTGTCTGAAGGAGGGACTTTGTAGAAAACGAAGCGTTTGAGAGAGGCGGGGCATAGAGGACCTACAATAATGTACAGTATTTGAAAAATAATGTGTTTTTTGAACATTAAAGCATGTCAGCATATTCTGTTACACCAAATAATGATCTTTAAAAAAAAAAAGCATCATATGACCCCTTTAACATGTTAATGCATAATATGTTACACAGTAAGGATATGATATTCAAGCAAAATCAACAATGTTGCAAATATAACTAAGATACAAGATACTAAAATGCAGCATTTGTGTCATGAAACTATAACAACTGGAACAAGATTTTGCTGATAGACCATTTTGCACCAACAACAAACCAGCTACTATGTCCCCAAACAGAGCTTGCAGCAAGGCATGATTAGCCAAAAACTAAAACTGTGGTAATTGACGGTTTAGCCACTATTGTCATGAAACACACACACACATGTTGGTTTTTATGGTTTATGGGGACTCTCCATAGGCGTAATGGTTTTTAAACTGTTCAAACCGTATTTTCTATTGCCCTACACCAACCCTACCCCTAAACCTACCCCTCACAGGAGACTTTCTGCACTTTTAGATTTTCAAAAAAACTCATTCTGAATGATTTATAAGCCTTTTAAATTACGGGGACACTCAAAATGTCCTCATAAATCACCTTCTCGTTGTAATATCTGTGTCATACCCATGTTATTATACAAATTTGTGTCCTCATAAACCACATAAACATGCACACGCACACACACACACACACACAAACACACACACACAGACAGACAGAGAGAGATATATATAAATGTAATGGTTTTTAAACTGTTCAAACCGTATTTTCTATTGCCCTACACCAACCCTACCCCTAAACCTACCCCTCACAGGAGACTTTCTGCACTTTTAGATTTTCAAAAAAACTCATTCTGAATGATTTATAAGCCTTTTAAATTACGGGGACACTCAAAATGTCCTCATAAATCACCTTCTCGTTGTAATATCTGTGTCATACCCATGTTATTATACAAATTTGTGTCCTCATAAACCACATAAACATGCACACGCACACACACACACACACACAAACACACACACACACACAGACAGACAGAGAGAGATATATATAAATGAATGAATGAATGAAAGAATGAATGAATGAATACAGACAATGTCAGAAAGATTAAGTAACTGTGGTTGTAGGATGGAAACTTTAGTTATTGTATTTTTGCAACATATTTTACATCACTGGCACAAACACAAGAGCCTTAGAGCATTATCTGCACTAAATATTGACGGAAATCGTTTTTCTGAGGTAACTTTCTGTCGTTTTCTTACCTTAAACACATCTCCATATGTCCCGCTGCCTATGCGGTGTATCAGCTCATAGTCATCGAGCGGATCCGCGTGCGATACTCCGAACGCGTCCATAGCAGCGCGGCATTTGACTCGTTTTCTCTCGGTACTACATCAAGAGCGGATGATATCATCCAAGTGCCACGACTTCCTCAACATCCGCGGAACAAGTGCGCTAGAGTGAACATGCCAGCGATGACACAAACGCATCTCTGACTGGGGCGTTCACGCAAGGATGGCGCAAGACGCCAGGGTCTAGAGACGCGTTCTTTTTAAGTTCAATTTGTCAGGAAGTCGCAAAGTTTCCAAAAACAAACAAAAAACATCGATAGACAATTATAAAATAGCGCAGACGTAACGCACACAATAACGCGTCCTGTATGACGCTACATTATCAGAGGGAGAGTTTAGATTAAGAAGTTTACATTAAATTAAATACGGATGACAAAAGGCTGTAATGAGATATAGTATGCCAACTGTGTTATACAAGACATAAAAAAAAATCTTTTGACCAAAAAAAATAAACATTTTGAATGAGAAAAAAAAGATTTCCATTCCAAATCTTAAAACATGGACAACAAAAAAAATGAAGTGATATATGACAATATTATCTATAAGTTATAGTAGTATATATAATTTATCACAAATATAAAATACCAATCTTTTCCTTTAACTTTAACAATTATTTATTAAAATTATACAATTGTTTATGTTGCAATTTATTAAATAACAGTATACAGGCTACTTGTTTGAAACGGTACAGTCAGTGTGCGAGTGTCATCTACAGGTTCTCCGGCGTCAGAACAATATAAACATTCTTGAGACATTACTGTGAGTGACTTCCTATCAATACACACCTATTTATTCACCTTCCTATTTATATTTACAAGATATTGATCAAATTTGGCCTTGATAAGCCACATATGTGTGATGTCTGATTATATGCAATGCTCCTGCGTTAAGTCTAAATGCAGAGTTTAAAACGCTACACTATTTCACTTGTCATGTTGAGAAAGCAAATGTACGAATATTTGGCTCATGAATTTTAATTACGTAGAACGTCAACGTGCTTCATTAATATTCATGATCTAGTCGAATCCCTAGAGATAGAACTGGGGACCCTGCACTACTCATCTTGAAGACTCTGATCCGAATTCGGTCCTCGAACCTATTCGCTCTCTCCTTAATTGTTTATTTTCTAATTTCTACTGTATTTGTTAATTAAACTATTAATTACCGCCAAGCCTTTGCCATAGTAGAATTGCTGTTAGACAAGCGCCACCTAGCGGCTAACCTCCGTTGTTCAGAATTGCGCATGCGCGGTACACACTCAAACGGTGTGCGTAATGGCTGCCTGATGAAGTAAGTGAATTTAGATGCTCCGCTTTTAATTTGACCATAACGAACGGATAACATCGAGACGTCGGAGCTAAAAATGGTTTATACTCATCCAGAGACGCAGCCAAAGACGAAATCTAACAGCGTGAAGTGATTAACCAACGTGTAAGTCTATTTTATTAGAATTATCGAAGCGTTTGTAAGGGAAGAACGGGCACAGTTCTGTAATGTTACTGTTAGCTGGGCATTTTAAATTAATTTAACTCTACGTATCTAACACATTTACCTCAAAAACATTATTTGTTAGTGTTTTAAGACCTCTGAAGCGGTCAAATATAAACTTTACCTAATTATTAGCATTAAGACGATCCCCTTTAGTCAGCACAAACTCCGAAAGTCAATTATTATTGTTCTGGTTCACGTTTAAACCTGTGTTCTGTCGTCTTAACGATGTAATATTTGTGTCTGTATAAGGTTTATATTTTCAATATTTCACAGGCGTCCTGTTTTAAACTGTGACTGTTGATGTGTAGGGGTTACTAGAGTTCAAACACGTTTAACACGACAGTCATGACAGTAACTAGTCCACGTGAGTTTAAATATGAGAAATACAACACTATATTTTCGCCACAGCACAATTATTTGACTATATTGTTGACTAAAGTAGTATGGTTATGTAAGTGTTCTGTTTTTTTTTCTATCCTGTGGTAATAAGAGAAGTAGGTGTCGTTCTACCACTTCCGAAAAGTACCTTGGCATTCCCATGGTTTCTTAAAGATAGGATAGGGTATTACTGTGGATTTGGAGATGTGTTATGATTTTGTTTGGAGATAATGTAATATTCAAACATTTGTATTATTATTTGTTTCATATGTTTGCAAATACACATTTAAAATACACGCGCATAATCAACACTCAACTAAAACTTAGTTGTTGTGTATACAAATGTACACTCAAGCCAGTTTGTATATACTTTTTTCAAATGTATAATATGCATTATTATTATGCTTATTTTTTATTTAGTCAAATTTCTGGTTGAAACACACTTACCTCATCTGAGTGTCTTGATTTAGTTCCTCAAAGATTACAAAACTGTGTGGTTTTAATAGGATCGCACTGTTGTTCTCTATTTTAAAATCAAGTTTTTCTCTGTTTAGGTCGAGGCCTGTTCGGTGCCCTGCTGGTCATGGCGTTGAAGGCCCGTGTGGAGGCGGTTCTGAACGTGGGTCTGCGGATCCCCAGCATCATGCTGCTAGAGGTGCTGTACCGCTGGGACGTCAGCTCCTTCTTCCAGAAGATCCAGAGGAGCAGTCTCAACAATAACCCTCTCTTCCAGTACAAATATATTGCCCTCTACCTGCATTATGTTGGTAGGTCCAAACACAACAAGCAGCTACTCCCTGTCTATACAACAAGCACTGAATGACATTGAACTGGAAATGCTCTTCGAACGAACTCCTTAAAGTCTTAGTTTTCTTAATCTTGGGCATTAATTATGGGGTAAAGCATGAATGATGGTGTGTTATTAGTTTTTTGCTTTTATTTAATTTTACTTTTATTTATTTTTTTTAAGAGTCTAATCTAGATTTGGGGTGGGCTTTTTTACTTGGACCAGTAAAATACCACCCATAATACCATAGCTGCAACACTTAAGTCGCACTATAAATAGGGGTGCTCCGATTGATCGGCTACCGATCACTATCGGCCGATAATCGCTTTGGGATGATTGATCAGCCGATCTCATAAACCGATCTCAAACTGATGACGCGTCTGCCGTGAGAGATTTGGCATGACATGCAGCGGCTCAGTCTCTGTCTGGCGCGGGTGAAATAATTGTAATGCTGAAGGTGAGGTACAGTTCATATTTCATCATTAAATAACTTCAAGTAGCTAATTTGAAAACTTTCTGTGAGACATAATTCCACAAACAGCGTGAGTGAATCACAGCACACGCTCTCTCTTTCTCTCAAAATGCGCAAATGGCTTCAAATCAAATCACGTCGGCACTATAAGCGAGCTGCACAGTTAACACAGGAATTGTCACTTGCACAATCGAGGCAGTGTCGCATCATCACTAAAGTTTATAAATTGCATTATTTTTTTATTCTTGCTGGTGTTTAAACCATTCAGCGCTCACGCGCTCTCCTGGAGACTGTGCACTCATGCACGCACGCGGATGCAACAAATGCCTCGTTTATAATGGGTTTTAATGTTTTAAAATTGCTCCGGCTTTAATTGCTCCGTCCGGACACGGCATCACAGTATGGTAAGGGGCGTAACATTTCCATCACACGCTTGAGGTATTCGGCCAATCACAACGCACTGGATAGCTGGCCAATCAGAGCACACCTCGCTTTTCAGACTGATGATCTTTGTAAAAATCTACGCATTTCAGAAAGGAGGGGCATAGAGGAGAAACAATAATGTACAGTATGTGGAAAATAATGTGTTTTTTTAACCTTAAACCGCATAAACACATTTCATTACACCAAATACACAAAAAATTTTCTTTTTAGCAACATCATATGACCCCTTTAAATGTTTTGCCACTTGCTTGAGCAGCTTAATATATCAATCTAGAAGTAAATGCAAAAGTAAAAAGCATTGAATAATGTTTCTTATATTTATTGCGTTTAAACACGTCTATGAAAGATTGTATTAGCTACTGCACTGTGTAAAAAAGAATCACAATGCTGAAAAAGTATTTTCAGTAACAATGTTTGGATTTGAAATCAAAATAATAAAAAAATGTTGTGTTTGTAGTAAACAGTCACGGATCAGTTGCAGACTCCTGTGTGAAAGCACATTGAGAGTACGTGTTGCTTCTGCACCGCTTGCGTACCGCACATGGACTGCATACGCACTGCAAACGGAGTATGTGTGAACCTGGTGTAAAAGGCCGCCTCACATACTGTACAGCTCACAAAATCAGGCTTGCGCTGTGGTGTAAGCTATTGTGCAACAATTGCACGATTCTAAAAACAAAAATGCAGTGCATGATCGAACATTTATACATAAATGTATATTTTTGAAAAATGCCCCCCTCCTCCACCCCTCAAATTAAAAAATCCCCTCTCACAAGAGTCACTTAAAAGGGGAATTAATTTAAAAAAATGTAATTCAGGCCCTGAATAAATGTTTAAAATTCCTGATTGGAGTCTTAATATAAATAATTCTACATGATAAAAAGAAGGCTTTAAAAAGATTGGTATCGGTGATCGTATTGGCAGATACTGCTTTCTGTGATCGGTGATCGGCCTCAAAAATCCTGATCGGAGCACCCCTAACTATAAACCCTCTGGTGCTCCTCATTTGGGAGTCACACTTGTGATCTTCATGGTCAAAGTGACCGGACACCTAAAATGTAACTTTTCAATGAATGCAGTATTTCTTGTTAAAATAGTCAATGCCTTTAAAATCCAATTTTTTAAGCCAGATTAGTGCAATCTTGTAGGAGTAAAATCAGAAAAACATCTGCAATTCTATGGTTTAGCCCATGGATTCCTATATAGCTCAATATAAAGGGCTTATAAATTCTCTAATTGTTTTTAGAAATAAATACTTATTTTTATTAAGTTGTGGGTTTAGATATACATTTAGACGTTCTCAAAGACAACTTTTTGTAAAGGTTTAGATTTTATTTTGGTTTGGTTTGAAATGTTGATTTGTAGCATCAGTTTTTGAATTATTATTATTATTATTATTATTATTATTATTATTATTATTACTACAGTCAAACCTGAACACAAAGCATTTTGTTACACAAAACATTAAAATTCTATAAAAATTTAACCAAAATGAACAGGAATGTTTTATCAGAGCTTAATTCTTCTGGGTCTGATCTGATTTCAGTTTTCTGACTCGTTTTGGCTGTATGGTTATAGCTATACCATTTCATTTGAGTGTGTATGATTGTGTATGTGTGTGTGAGTGTGTGTGTGAGTGGATGTGTCTGTCTTGCACTCTTGATGTTTTAAATTGTAACTGCTTCCTTGCTGTCCACTTTTTTTTTACTGCATTGTAGTTAAATTATTGCTTTTATTTTACATATTTGCTGTGTTACGGTCACACCAGTTCATAGGTGTGTGTGTATAAGTGTGTTTGTACACGTGTGTGTGAGTGGATGTGTTGGTTTTGCACTCTTGATGTTTTAGAGTTTCACCCCATCATTGGTGTGTACTTTCTGCATTGTGGCAGATTTGTAGATTGTACACAATTCTCAGAATTTTTGTGTTTGTCGATTTCCCGTTAATTTCCTATGGTCGGACATTTTTGACCGAAGTCCACAAGCGGGACACTTTTTTTATGAACACTTAGCCTGCTCGAATCATGCCCTCTATTTTTTTGTGTTCACACATTCCAAATGCCATAAAAGTCACCAAGTTTCATACCATTCCGATGAAGCTGTTAGTTTTCAAAATTTAAAACATAATTTTTTGGTCAAAAGTGACTGAAGAGCACCAGAGGGTTAAAGTATATCTTCATGTCTAGTTTTCAATTTGTGGTGGTCATGATGATGTTCCACATGTGATAACGTCTTTTTTTGTGTGTGTGTGTGTGTGTGTGTGAGTTTGTTTTCTTAGCGGTCTGTGCTCCCTGTTTAAGAAAAGCAAAGTGCTTGTGTTTGCACTCTGGCTGGAGTCCTCTTGTAATGGGCCAGTGGAAACGCAGAGTCAGGAGTTGGGAAGATTTTTATGATGGGAACAGTCTAGGTTGTTAGTCATTAAAGCAGTAATTAGACCATAGAGTTGCAAACTGTAATTAAGGCCTGTTTTGTTTGTCAAAGAAAACCTGGAAACAGAAAAGCTGTGCATCTACAAATGATGGGGAAAGACTTTAATCGCTCTTATTCTTTATAGACAGAATAAAGCATCTAGAGTCCAGCTCTGCACTATGGGCTTCTCTCCGCTATCCCTGTGTTGTCACAATAGTTTAACACAGTACCTTGTAGGGCTGGGAGGAAACTATTCTCATCGATTCTCATTTTGATGTAACAATAGCCTATTGATTCTTAAATCCCAAGAATTGGTCTGTGCTGTCTTCAGTCAATGAACAGAAGTTAATGAAACATTATTTGTGGTGTGCGTTACTTCTGATGTGAAACATCAGACTCTGCTTTCTAATTCTATCAATTGTAATCACAAAATTTAAACAATAAATATGTAACACCTCAGTACAACCAGGAGAACACAGTCCTCTTTACTACCAATCACTGCATGAAATAAACATAAATGAACATCAGATTGTATGCTGAAAGAAATGGAACAACTTACTGAAATGTCTCTGGTCTCAGTCAGTGTTTCAACCACGGAAAGACGTCAGTAAAATAGCTTGTGAACAGTATGTCACGTAAGACATTCATTGTCCATGAACCCGATAGTTAGCTAGAAAAATTAACTGTAGGAAAAAAAAAAAAGGGAGTATTTTGCTAAACTGATACACTATTTATACATACCCACAGGTTTGAATAAATCCATCATGAAAAAAGGATGATATCTGCTGTTTAAATGGTTAAATTTCAACCACACACTGAAGTAGAAACATAAGTGTTATAATCAGGGGTGCACATAAGTGGTGCGCATGCGCGACCATAATAAAAAATGCGCTGTGTAAATAAGTTCTGACAGCTAGTGCTGGGCGGTATACCGGTTCATACCGAATACCGGTGTTTATTTTTGTTATGATATTAATTTTTTTAATCCCGCAATACCGGTGTGTATGTCGCTTAAACAACCTTTGCATGCACAATTATCATTTTAGATCGACAAACTGTAATACTGTATAAGATTTCTATTCAAACTGAATAGCTAAATAAATATAGGCTACCCGCTGCCGTTTTCAAAGCACAGTGCAAAACTGTGACATTTCATTAACTGATGCGCTTCAGTCGGCAGCGCTAAACCCGGAACCGCATATACTTACTTGCCGGCAACCCGCCAAAATAAAAGCCTGATTATTTTAAGTTTGAAAATGATAAATTCATCTTTAAAAAAAAGTAAATATTAGCATTTTATATTTAAGTTCACTATAAAATAGTTATATTTGTATTTAATACTCCCTTTTTATTTTAAAATATAATAGTATGATCACACTTTATTTAATTATTTTATTTAAAAAAAGCTAAATAAATAAAGTGCAACAATATTATCACTACGATAATTTTTTTTTTTAATAGTTGTATTTAATGGGTTACACTGTGCAGTGTGAGAACCAAACCAAATCTCCAGGTTCTCTTATGAGAACCAGGCTGAAAAACGTATGTGCAACCCTGGGTATAATACACATTTATTATAGTATGTTTTTTTATGTAATACTTTTTTTTTTTTTTTTTTTTTTTTAACTATATAAATGCTGCTTTATGTACAATTTACAAATCACTTTAATATAGTAATGTACCAACTGAGTTCATAGTTTACACCATTAGTTGAGATGAGAGATTTCTTCTCAATACCTTGTACAGAAATCTGTATTCGGTACCATTTTGGATACCACAGAGAGAAATTGCTACAACATTATTAATTGCATAAAATGTGAAAGTACCTAATGTAATTTTCTTTGACCACAGTTAAAGTATTTTCTTATCAACTGAATCTCACTGTCTGAGATTCTTCAGGCACAATAGCTCTGAGGGGGACTATATAATGATAAGACATGATAAGAAATATTACTCTTGTAATATGCCTGTACTGTATAGTATAAAGTTTATTAAGGGTCAGATTTACTAACAGCTTGCACCTGGTCAAACAATCTTTTGGTGTTAAAAAACTACTGTCAGGATTTACTGAAGGCACGCATTGAAAAATGAATGCTTGGACAATAGCCTGACCTTATTTCATATATATTTGTAGGATTTTCCCTTTCAGGCACACAATTTATGGGAGGAGAGTATTTAAATGCAACATAATTTACTAAGGTTTGCGGTAGTGAAATTATTGGTATTTGCGCCATTATTTAATAGCCCAAAAAAGCATGTCTTAAACCAGCCAATTTGCGTTGGTCTTAGTAGATTGCGCTGCTCATTATGGAAATGATCCGGTTGTGTCTGTGTTCTTTAATGTGCACATTGTCAGTAGATCAGCCGCAGAGCTTTTCACTCTCATCTGCACTTCTGTGAGATTGCACTCACGCTAATTTGCTCTGGTTAGTAAATCTGGCCCTAAATATTGTGTTATACTACAGTACAAAATTTATGGCCGCGGTATCTAACTATATTAAATCATTTTCTGTGCTCCCATTGGTATCTGGCATTGGCATTGCTGTAGTGCTTATTTACGTAAAGTTATTGTCTCAATCAAACACTAGCAGAATGATTTTTGTACAAATGAAACATTGTAGGGCTGCATTGACCATGTCAATTCATCTGTATAAAAATAATTAATCTTTCAGTGATCGTTTAGTAGTACATTTCGATGTCTGATATTATGCAGGTGCCTGCTACCTTTGCATTGCAAATACTATTTTGACTAATCCGTTTATCCAGCACCCTTTCTCGGAGTGTACAAACCTGAAATGACTGCTACAAATCCAGTGACTGGGATGCAAGTTCTTAAATAATTTTCTAATTAAACATGCTTATCAATCACGTAAACTTTTCTTAGTTGCCTGGAAATAAACAGGCATGCAATAAATTTAGTGAACTTAAGCCAAAGGCTACCTTTGTATTAGTATATTATTCTTCATTAAAGGGGTCATCGGATGCAAAATTCATTTTAGGGAATGAAAGAAAGGAAAGGAGGTCACTTGTGGCCAAGTATGGTGACCCATACTCGGAATTTGTGCTCTGCATTTCACCCATCCAAGTGCGCGCACACACACACACACCGTGAAAACACACCTGGAGCAGTGGGCAGCCAATGCTGCGGCGCCCGGGGAGCATTGGGGGTTTGGTGCCTTGCTCAAGGGTCTCACCTCGGTCGTGGTATTGAGGGTGGAGAGAGCGCTGGACATTCACTCCCCCCCACCTACAATACCTGCCGGACCTACAAAACCTGCCGTTCCCTGCCGGAACCCGCAACCTTTGGGTTACAAGCCCGACTCTCTAACCATTAGGCCACGACTGCCCCATTACATGTTGTTTGAACATTAATGTGTATTGGAAGTGTGTGTACACATCCATGCTATAATGATAAAATATCCACCCAGTGTTTTTTTTTTTAATCTCTATTTTAAAATCCCCTTTCTCAAATCAGGCTGTTCTGAGATTCCTGGCAGAATGACGTAGTTCTGCACAGGCCGCTCCCACGATAGTTGATTGACAAGGCCCTCTTACCTTAGATCCGCCTTGAGTTAGCTTTGAGCTGTCCGCCCTTGTGTTGACTCCAGTGGAAGACAAGAATGTCTCGGATTAAGCGATTTAGGTGTTTTGTTGTTGGATGTAATAATGAACATAGCAGTCGTCATTTACTCCCGACGTCTGAGCCGCTGGAGAAGCAGAGGATTAACGTTACTTTAGTTTTTGAAGGGAATATGCCGATCCCCGATCTGCCTAAATGCGTCTTCGCGCAAATCATTCATGATCCAGCTTCATCTACAGAAGAAGTGAGTATAAGGGTTATGAATCTTTGCAAATCGCCTTTCCTAATAATGTGCTAGTTAGCATGTTTCGCGGCTAAATGCGGCTAAAGTTTACTATCTGCTCGTCACCCCATGGAAGAGAGGGGCGGGGTGAGCAGAGCTCATTAGCATTTAAAGCGACATGCAAGGAAGCGGCTTGCTATGAACAGAGCTGATTTTGACGAGGTAAAAAGGGTGTTTTTTTTTTTTACACTTCCATAGAGAAATTTTAACCGAAGTATGTTATAGACCTTTCATTATGACCCTAAAGAATCATATCAACTTGTGGAAAATGGGCATCCCATGACCCCTTTAAAGGTTGTTGACACTGACGTTGATTTGCAGCATCATATGCGACCATACATCATTCATTTTAACACGAGTCTGTGAACCAGTGACATGATGCCGCACTTCCATCACCTGATACATTTTGATACAAAACACCTACTTGGAAACCATGGACTCTGTGACCTCCAGATAAACACTCTGTAAGAACAAAGGGCTGCAGTTCTACAGGCAATATACTGTATATGGCTTAAATAGTTGTACACATCTCTACCACACCTTTCATTCCTCCCTTTCCATCTCTTTGCGTGACCCGTTCTGGACACTTGATCCAACCGAGCTGATTAACTGTTTTTAATGCAATTTAATCATAGAAGTAGATTTTTAAAAAGTTATGTTTACTTGTTGCTACCACACCATGTTACAACACAGTAGGGCTATTGCAGACAGAAACAATACTGTACTACATCGATGTTTCCTGTCGGCTCAATTTTTGAGTGGACTTTGCGGTTTCGATTCGCATGAACGGTATACGAGTGGAGCGACTGAGCGGTGCACACACACACAGAGCGTCACACCACGTGAAAGTGAAACCTGAGCGGTGAACTAATTTTCGGCAGCCGAAATTTCGGTGTATCTCTAATTATTGGCGACATCAGAAATGGATATTATATAATAGATGCTTGTTTGAACATTTTAGCAATTTAAAAATATTAAAAAAGGATTTTTTACACTGCACCCATGCTCTCGACAGGCGGCACCCCAGTTGGGTAACACTGGGTTAGACCATATGGCATTTTAGAGACATTAAATGAAACATTTTCTTGAAAATGGTATAAAAGTTTTGCAAAACCCTGGGAAATCAACATGAATACAAAGGGTACATTTCTTACTTGGCATATGCTTTTTAACTGCATTATTGAAAACATTTTCCTTTATTTTGTGTGCTGTTATTTGTCATTGACACTTATGTATAATTTAAAACCAACATTTTTATTTTTGTTTTATGTGAAACCAAGATTGCATATCAGTGTATCTTTATTCCTGTCAGTAATTGAGACTCTTTTCTTCAGGCTATATCCTCAGTCTGGTGTTGTTGACTTTACCCCGGCAGCATCTGGTACAGCTCTACCTCTACGTGCTCACAGCTCTTCTGCTCTTCGCGGGACACCAGCTCTCTAGGTCTGTGCTCACAGCACCCTTTGCTTGACTGTATAAAACACAATGCCACATTGGGTTTTAAGTGCTGACACGTTGACAGTTCTTGTAAACACACACACGCAAATAAAAATGAGTGCTTGACACATTTTGACAATTAATGCAACCGTTTAGTAGTTATAATGACTTTCAAACAAACAGTGCTCTCTGACTGGTGTTCCTGCAGGGATTACGTACGTGGAGAGCTGGACTCGGGTTACGAGGGACCCCTCTACCTGGAGCCACTGTCCATGAACCGCTTTACCACAGCACTCATCGGTACGTCCAGCATCATTAGCGCCAAAACAACACCATATTTTGTTCTCTTTAGTGATGCATTTGTTCCTGACACATTATAAAGGAAAAGAGTTACTCTCAACTAGACATGTGTCGGTATTCGGTAATGCGATATATCACAATATTGTTATCGTGGGCACTTCAAAATACAGAGAACAATTATTTAATACAAATTATTCCGAATTTTGAATGCATTTTAAGAATACCTTTCCTGTTAGCTGGTCACAATGCACAACACCACTGTATGCTGCTTCAAAGACGCGTGTGCACTCTAATGTAAACAAGCATGGATGAGAAGCACATGGCGAAGCGCCTGAGAGATGCTCTGGATGAAAGCGCATTCACTCTCTGACAGCAGATGGCGCTGAACAGCAGAAATGCAGCCGCTACCCTGGAAATCCCATAAACAAAGCAGCAGCTGCTACTTTTTGAAACGTACTTAAATGATTTAAATAGCCATTCAGGTTTTTGTATTCGCAGTGGTGTTCATCACAGAGCCAAATACTTCAATATTTAGACTTAATAGGCTATTTATTTTCAAACCTTTTAACATTTTAATCTGGACTACAACATGCCCTAGATATTGTTTGAAAGTGTTTTTGATTTTTGTTCGGTCACACTTTACATTAGGGTTTCATTAGTTAACATTAGTTAATTCATGTATTAAACTGAGACGATGCGCATCAAAGTTTTAGTGGAGAAAAGCATTTCAAACAGTCCTCATCTCTGCAGCACAGCTGGCACACCTGCTAAATGCAGCTCAGATGTGCTGCGTGATAGAGATCGAAATGACAGAGACGTGCAAGTAAAAGTGCACAAAAGCAGCATCTATTTCGTGCACAACTTGAACAAACTACAACAGATGAAGCTGTCAGCTGTCTGGATATTGGCAATATCGTTAATATTAATTATATTCATTAATGGATCTTAGTTCTGTTAATGCGTGAACTTGCTGTCCAGTAATCGCAAAAAACTTTGTGCTTTATTACTTTTTAATAAACAAAGTATCAGTTTTAAAATTATGCCAAATTCATAACGCAATTCAAACAAATACGGTTTTGGCGCTCTTTAATGCAGCAGGCGCGACTGCTTTAGCGCCTCAGTTCAAGCGGCAATTGAACCCATTATATCTTTCTCTTTACTAATATAGTACATAATAAACATGGATTAACATCAAAAGGTAAGCAATTTTATAAGAGAGCCTACAGTATAACCTACTGAAATGTCTCATGTAAAACGCAGTTTCAAACTGCGGAAAATGTGTAAAGCTTGTAAACATTGCAGTGTAATAATACATTTACCTCAGAATAACCATTCAGTGTCCACAAGCTCATCACTCAGCTAGAAAAATAACTGTAATGAGGAGTATTTTGCTATATTTATTAATATTTATGAATATTAATATTTTTACTTAAGCTGCTGTCTACTTGATTCGACGACTCCTATAAAATTGCATTTTACTAATGAAGAAAAACAGACATGTACTCACACTTTATCACCCCTCCCCACTCCCCCGCTGGCCTGCACTCACACTTGCACTAAAGTGAAAGTGACGTGACGTGACATGTGGCCAAGTACGTTTACCCATGCTAGGAATTAGTGCTCTGCATTTAACCCATCCTAAGTGCACACACACACCCGGAGCAGTGGGCAGCCATTTATGCTGCGGCGCCCGGGGAGCAGTTGGGGGTTCGGTGCCTTGCTCAAGGGCACCTCAGTCATGGTATTGAAGGTGGGAGAGAACGCTGTACATTCCCTTCCCCCCCCTACAATCCCTGCCGGTACGAGACTCGAACCCGCAACCTTTGGGTTATGAGTCCGACTCTCTAATCATTAGGCCACAACTTTTTTCTTAAAAAAACTTTCAGCCTGTCACCATGATGCAAACATGAAATATCAGACATACAGTAGTAGTTCTTTACAGGTTTTTTAATTCGATTGCGCTGCTTTTCCACTGTTTTTTCTGTGTAAACATGGATGTGTTTGACTGTTGCGCTCGCGTCTCTTGCAGTGTCTCATGCATGAAACGCCATTCTAAAAACACTGCGCTCAAGTTAAAAGAAGTTCACTCCCACCTTCTTGCATGTTTTACCTATTCCACTGCTCGCGTCGCATCTTTCTCAACACAAAAGAGCGTTCGGTGTGAATGGCGCTTAGCGCTATATTAATGGTCCTTCACAGAGCGCGTCACACGGGAGCGGTTATTCACGTGCGCCGACATGCGGTTGGATCATTCGTTTCTCTTTACTGTCATATTGTCAACGTGTCTAATTCTAACATTTGGTAATATTTCTATTTAAAATCGCGATTTCTAAAAAATAAAATCGTGGCAAAACAATAAATTCAAATTAATCGATAAAATCTGGAAAATTGCCCAGCCCTAGGAGCAGCATTATGAAACAGTTCCGCGCAGAGCTCTACTCCAGAATATCCGCACAGATCGATATCGAAATTATATCGTATCGACCGAAGTTAAGAAATATATCGTGATATCAATTTTGGCCATATCGTCCAGCCCGTCAACATTTTAGGCAACTTTTTAGTATTTTTTTTAAACAAAAACTAGACGCATTGTGCACTGAGGTAGGCCTGCTATTTATTTTTATGTCTGACGGGAAAAAAGCCTATTCTTTTTATTTGTTATTTTATTCAGTTTTTCTCTGTTTTCAGTAGCGCTGCAGGTGTGTGATAATTTGACGATGTGTGAATCCAGGTTCTGTTGTTGTTCTGTATGCTGCTGTTTGCACGTTAAAATAAACCCGTGAATTTTTTATTTTTATTTTTAATGGGTCAGACACTCATCCATTCTATTTTTATTTAATACTAATTTATTATTCGAATCTTATCAGTTAACGGTTAATGTTCGGATAACAAGTAACAGTTGTCGGTCGGGAAAGTTAACCGAAATGAACATCCCAAGATGTCACAAGAACTTGTACTTCTCTAACATATGTAACTGTTTCAGCAAAGTCACAATTTACTGAAGTCACAATGTACAAATTCCCTGACTTTTCCTGGAAAACCATGAAAAATCATTGAATCCCTATAATAGAATTCTTGTAAAATACTTCTGAAAAATTCTAAAAAAAAGTTTTAAATTTAAAATAGTTTTTTGCAAGTGGAATCTGTAGAATGTTTAATAATATCCTGGGAAAATCGTGGAAAATCACAGAAATTTCTTGGAAAATAACATTTTTGTAGATATGCCAAGCTCACAACAGATAACAATTATTCTTTGCAAGTAATAATTACAAAAACATTTTAATGTCATGGAAATTATATATATAAAAAAAAAATCAAACATCATAGTTTTTTCCCTAAAATACTGTTAAAATGGCTCTAAAATATTTCAACTGGTAGAAATGACTCTTTGTAAGTGCAATATCTATAAATATTTTTGTAATCCTTGGAAAAGATTGGAGTCTAAGTCATGTTTAATCAAATATTTACATCACTAACAGACTCTTTATATTCAGATATTTAATCCTGAAAATCTCTTAATATAGAAGAATCACACTGCAATACATTAATACATTTAGTCACAAAGACAGCAGCACCGCAGGGCAGTTTACTTGAAATTAAACTATTTGAATAGAAAACATTCATAGGCAAAATCTGTGTTTTTGCTGACCAGCCAAATGAAGATGTAAGATAACAACTATTAGCCTTTTGATTAGTCATGTCAAGTGACAAAAGGCATTCAGTTATTCATTTGAAATTAAACTTTTTTTGAAATAACAATGATTTGATCCTTTATATCTAAATGCAAAAGTTTCATCCCTTCAGTGAAGAGAGAGTAAACTGATAGACACCTAACTTCAGTAGTTAACCCTTTGTTTTGTTTGATTTGAGTCAAATTGAGCAGATGTCTTTTATTTGCCCTGTCAACATGGCAAAGCGGATCACATTGTGGGCACTCCCAGTGGGAACGTTTAAAGCAGCTTTTTAAAGGAAACATTGATGTGTGTTAGTGTGATGTATTTCTGTTCAGTTTGTCTGTAAGTTAGTGTTTGTTCAGTAAGACAATCCTCTCCCTCAGGTCAGGTCGTGGTGTGTACGCTGTGTTCCTGCGTCATGCAGACCAAACAGATCTGGCTGTTTTCTGCACACCTGCTCCCCCTAGTGGCTAGACTGTGCCTCGTGCCCCTGGAGACCATCGTCTTCATCAACCGCTTCGCTATGATCTTCACCGGTCTGGAGGTGCTCTACTTCATCGCCTCCAACCTGCTGGTGCCGTACAATCTGGCCAAAACTGCCTACAGAGAGCTGGTGCAGGTATGAGTGTCATGGGTATAGAGAGTGGGGTAAGAGGTGTCGCCCCCTCAATCCAGGGATTTTATTTTATTTTTTTTAAGCATTTCTTAGCTTTAGTATGATAGGATAGTAGCTAGACAGGAAGTGAAGTGGGAGAGAGAGAGGAGGACAGGATCGGGAAAGGTCCACGAGCCGGGATTCGAACTCGGGACACCCAAAGCACAATGGTGCTGTACTTTTTAAAAAGTTTCCTTAATCCTCACCAAAGCTGCATTTATTTAATCATAAGTACAGTAAGAACCGTAATATTGCCAAATATTAAAACTTCTGTTTTAATGTGTTTTAAAATTAAATGTATTGCTGTTATGTCAAGGCTGAACTTCAGTATCATTTGATCCTTCAGAAATCATTACAGTATGCAGATCTGGTGTCAAATAAACATTTCTTATTATTTGTATTCTTTTTTTTTTTTCCCCTGGGGATTCTTTGATGAATAGAAAGTTCAAAATTACACCTTTCTTATAGAAATCTTTTCTAACATAAATGTTTTTACTGTCACTTATGTATTTTTTTTTGACCTATTGCTTGTAATTAGTTTCTAATTACACCGTTTAATTGCCTTCAGTGAGCTTGATAATTTTTTTTATTTTTTTTTATTTTTTACTTGCATTATTAGGCTAGCATTAGTGTTTTTGTGACACTAATGCTAGCCTAATAATGCAAGTAAAAAATAAAAAACTGAAGGCAATTAAATGTATATAAATATTGTGAAGTATAATGAATCATATTGTGATATAAGACTTAGGTCATATCGCCCATCCCTAAATTTTGTATATTAAACTTTCTTGGTTTGTGAATAATGTGAAGTAAAATAAGATGTTTTTGCCCATCCTACCAGCCAGTCTTTGAACCCTAGGTGTAACATCCCTGTGTTTCCTGTGTTGTTCTGTAGGTGGTGGAGGTGTATGGTTTGCTAGCTCTGGGCATGTCTCTGTGGAATCAGCTGGTTCTGCCTGTTCTCTTCATGTGCTTTTGGCTGGTGCTGTTTGCACTGCAGATCTACACCTACTTCAGCACACGGGACCAGCCGCCCTCCCGAGAGAGGCTGCTCTTCCTGTTTCTCACCAGGTCTGACTGCTGCAACATGTAGTCCACTGTTTTTAATCAGCACGAAGGATAGCGTCTAGATTATGGATGCTAACGATTTATCGACAATCAAAAACTCATCGATGATCGATTCAGCGCAGTGTGTTCATGCAACAAGCGTGCAGCAGACACACAAGAATAATAAGCAAGCATTTAGGGCTGTGACAGGGATGGGCTGGATCTCTTGCGCGAATAATTCACATTGTACAAAATATGCTTTTGATGTGATCCAAACTTTAAAAGTGCATTAAATAGAAACTAGAGAAATAGAAATAAAATGTTTTCTCCCGATATTCCAAAGCAACCGATACCATTTGTAATTGGACAGAAAAGTGAATATCTTCCGCACAAGCAAGCAAGTCAGGAAAAGCAAAATTGAATACCGGCGCATGTGAAATACTCCTACTACGGAGTGACATGCTGAAAAAATGGGTATAAAAATAAATATGAATATTTATTAGTTCCTACCACTTGTTAATTTGTTGCCACGGTCCACGTTTCATTAATTTGGTTAAATTATATCTAAGGTACAACGTAGCCATGATTTAATTAACATGAGGGAACAAATTAAGTCGTGGGAACAAATTCTTAATTTGTGTTAAATTTGTGGAAATTCAAATGACCAACCAACTCGCTAAACAGAACACAAAGCTTAATTTAAATTTATGGGCTAATGTACCTTTCTCATCCAGCTTGAATCCAAATGTTTCCATGGAGGCAATGTAACATTTGCCTTCTAACCAATTATTTCTCTTCTGAACAAAGCTTTGTACTTCACATACTTCATAATAAAAGGTGTTTCATGTGGGCAAAAATGTGTTTTGTCGTATCACCGCTGGTGGTAGCGGTTAGTCATGCTTACTGGCACAGCCCTGTGCGCTTGAGCTACATTTGGAATAGTTTTACTTTAAATGGTGATAATGTTAATTGCAAACATTGTGATTGTGTTTTAAAATTAAATACAACAAATGAGCATCATCATACCATTTAAAAATGGTGCATTCAGCGGTCTCAATGACAGAATATGAAACGGCCAACAATAACCTCCATTTAAAATAAAATGATCCCAAGCGTAACTATTATTATCGTGTCGATTCATTTTACAATCCTGCAAACTAGCCCTTTAGTTTTTGCACATCCTGTAATGCTGGTGATTATATGCCACTGCGGTAGAAGCATTTTGAATTATTAGGTTAATGATTAATTGATCATTCATTTAATTGATCATGGGAATAATTGTAAATTGACATAGCTAAGCTAGATATAAACCAGAATGCTTTGCAACAAGGATTTGGAACAGCGGAAAATAGGGCAGTAGAAATCTAAATCACTGTTTAACAATATGCAACATACAGTATGTAAATGTTTTGTTGGTTATGGTGACTGGGGATGCACGATATATTGGCCACCATATCGGTATCGGCTTATAAATGTGAATTTTTTTTGTGCACATATATCTTATTTATCTAATATAGAATGTGTTTGTTTAAGCTAATAGAAGGTAAATAGAGCACAGTATGTCAGTGGTCATCTTTAGCTCAGCGCACACAGCTCAAACAGAAGTGCACAACATTAACTATGATTGGGACTGTCATATAAAACATTATAATGAGAACACTATTATAATAAAACGTTTTGAATTGTTTCGGTGTATTTGCTGTGTTGCTGCGCGTTGTTACGTGAAGAGCCAAGGGCGCATACACACCATGAGTTACACATTCTAGCACATAACTTAGTTCAAGATCACTTGTGTATTTGCGTCTTTTTGTGCATATATAAGTTATGATATTATGTTTGTTGTGTAAATATCTGATTCTCATATAGCATAATTAACCTGCTAACAAAGCGCTTCAGTTTACTGGTGTTGATTCAGCTCTTCAGCTACAGCGCACACAGCTCAAACAGCAATGCTGCTAGTTGAAACAGTGGTGTTAAGATGCTTCTTTTTCAGAATCATTGAGATATTAATAATAACCACCACTTTTATTTTTCTTATTTTCATTAACAATATGGTTTAACTAAAATAATTTAATTATTGTTCGTGCAGAGGCTATTCCATTTAATTTATGCATGGCACATGCATAATTTTTTTACACGCAAGTAATGTTGTCCAGTGACTTGTTTGCATTATGCATTATTTTATTTATTTGTAAGGCTGCTTTGTTTGATTTTATGTTGAAGTGTTTAATGGTTTTTAATGGTGAGACTATCTTTTTGGAATCAGGCTCTCAAAAATGATATAAAAATTTGGATTTAGATTTCTCAGGCAACATATTGGTTATCGGCTTTCATATTTAAAGAATTATCTGTATCGGCCAACATTTTCATATCGGTGCATCCCAAATGGTGACACACAATTTTCTGCCGTTTAGGTTTTTGACATTTATGATAGGTTGTCTACCTTTGCTATGGCCAAAGAAATATATATGGTTTCAAAGAAAAATTATTATTTTTTTGGCTTGCAGCTACAGCGCACACAGCTCAAACAGCAATGCTGCTAGTTGAAACAGTGGTGTTAAGATGCTTCTTTTTCAGAATCATTGAGATATTAATAATAACCACCACTTTTATTTTTCTTATTTTCATTAACAATATGGTTTAACTAAAATAATTTAATTATTGTTCGTGCAGAGGCTATTCCATTTAATTTATGCATGGCACATGCATAATTTTTTTACACGCAAGTAATGTTGTCCAGTGACTTGTTTGCATTATGCATTATTTTATTTATTTGTAAGGCTGCTTTGTTTGATTTTATGTTGAAGTGTTTAATGGTTTTTAATGGTGAGACTATCTTTTTGGAATCAGGCTCTCAAAAATGATATAAAATTTGGATTTAGATTTCTCAGGCAACATATTGGTTATCGGCTTTCATATTTAAAGAATTATCTGTATCGGCCAACATTTTCATATCGGTGCATCCCAAATGGTGACACACAATTTTCTGCCATTTAGGTTTTTGTGTTTTAGTAATGGGACATTTATGATAGGTTGTCTACCTTTGCTATGGCCAAAGAAATATATACGGTTTCAAAGAAAAATTATTATTTTTTGGCTATTAATATTTTGCATAGAGAATTATATATAATGTGTATATTTACAAATGCATATAAATTTAAATGTCTAATATAATAATATATGATATAATGGATTACACTCTCTCAGGTTCTTGGTACACTTCTTATCTACATCCTCTTCATGGTGGAAGAGTTTCGTAAGGCTCCTGTTGAGAACATGGATGAAGTCATCTACTGTGTCAATGGGACCTACCGGCTCCTGGAGTTCCTGGTGGCCGTCTGCGTGGTGGCTTATGGTGTCTCAGAGACCCTGTTTGGAGAATGGACTGTAATGGGCTCCACCATCATCCTGGTTCACTCCTATTATAACGTGTGGCTAAGGGCCCAGCTGGGCTGGCAGAGCTTCCTGTTGCGCAGAGATGCAGTTCACAAGATCCACAGCATGCCCACTGCTTCCGCATTACAACTCCAGCAACATAATGACATCTGTTCTATATGCTTTCAGGTAAGAAGTGTTTAAGATGTTTTCAGTGCATTTATTCCCAACATAAGTTCATTGAATCATTCAAAAAGTATTTTTGAATGTACTTTCACTGGAGTTCATAACTGAAGTGTTGATCAGTTTAAGATTTTGTCATTTTTAATTTGTTGAATATTACATGGGCCCTGTTTTATTCTATACCATGTTAGAGGGTTTAATGTGTAACTGAGAGCGAATTTGTTTACTGTGCACTCTTCACAATTGTACCAAAAGGGGTTTTTGGTTCCTCAATGAAGCTTTCAGTGATCAGTTCTTAAAATAACCATTTATTTTTTTTCTTGGTATGAAGACTATTTTAATAATCTGAAGACCCATTTGTGCTCTGAAAAGTTTTCATGGATATTAAAGGTTCTTCATGGAACCATCAATGACAATAAATAAACTTCATAGAAGGTTCTTTATTGAAATGAACATTATACCCAAATGAATCCGATTCATAATTGAATCAAATCAAGAGATTGTGAATTGTGTCCAAATGTGGAAATCTTTATTGATATCAAGCTTAATACAGTGGAATCTGAATTTGCTCTTGCTAGCCTTTAAAGCATTTCCTCATTTGTCAACATGTTCATAATTTCACTTCTTATCTTGGCTGTCTAGTTTTAAACATTGTTTCTCACTTCCAGGATATGAAGTCTGCTGTCATCACGCCATGCAGCCACTTTTTCCACGCTGCCTGTTTAAAGAAGTGGCTGTACGTGCAAGAAACGTGTCCTCTGTGCCACGGCCAGCTCAAAAGCCAATTTTTTTTTTTTTTCTTTCCAGTGAATTCTAAGTTTAAATCTCGCAATAGTTTTTTTCTGCAATTGCGACTTTTTATCTCACAATTATGCGTTTATAGATCACAGTTGAATTGTTAGTTTATATCTCGCAATTGCAAGTTAACATTCTGCAGTTATGACCTTTTCCCTCTGGTTTCTAAGTTTACGTCTTGCAATTGTTTTCAGCCACGGATAATAAAAGTGTGACTTTTTATCTCGCAATTGTGAGTTTATATCTTGCAATTGCAAGTTAACGTTCCACGGTTATGACTTTTTTTCCCCTTTGAAATCGGAGTTTACATTTCGCTGTTTTTTTTCCGCCACAGAATGATAAAGGTAATTGTGTTTATATCTCAATTTTTTTCCCGGAATTGTGAGTTTATCTCACAATAATAGAAGTCAGCGAGAAAAGTCGTCAGAATTGTGAGAGAAAGTTGCAAGTATGTTTTTTATTTTTTCCTTCCATACTGTGAAAATATCTCCATACAAGTAGTTTATACAATTCAAAGTATCCTAAAGCTGGGATTACTTTACGTAGGGAACAGATCAATATGAAGTTGTTACTTAAAATAATAAAATGTTTTGTTTTTATATATAGAGTCTGCTGAACTTCACCTTTCGTGTTCCACAAAAGAACATTGTATGAATTTGCAATGGCATGAGTAAAGGATGACACCGTTTAGACTTCTGGTCCATACTGTGAAAATATCTCCATACAAGTAGTTTATACAATTCAAAGTATCCTAAAGCTGGGATTACTTTACGTAGGGAACAGATCAATATGAAGTTGTTACTTAAAATAATAAAATGTTTTGTTTTTATATATATAGAGTCTGCTGAACTTCACCTTTCGTGTTCCACAAAAGAACATTGTATGAATTTGCAATGGCATGAGTAAAGGATGACACCGTTTAGACTTCTGGAATGAACTGTCCCTTTATGTTGGTCACTGGATGCATTTCATGATCTGTTTACATTATTGCTGGTCAAAAGACATTTCAGAATACTGCCCTACAGAGACAAAACATAGTAACTACACATTTTGTTTGTGTTCACATTGAGCTACTAAAATAGGCTTTTAAAAACTGATATCTGTGACAGATGGGTTTGGCACAACTATGCACAGATTCAGAAAAGCTGAAGTGTAACGATTCAATCAAGAAAGCTTTTTCTCAGATTGAGTGCTGGTGTAGGTACAGCGTTTCAATGCCCCTTTGTGGGGCATTGTAGTTTTCAGTATGCATCCATATGACTGAAAATGTACATCATCTCTATGGAGGTAATGGATGGTTCTTATGCTATACTATTTTGTAGAAGTGTGTTTGTGTGTGTGTGTATGTGTTTTGGAAGCGCATCCCAAATGAGCCACTGTAAAATCCAGACCCCGGCAAAGTCAAACTGTGGAATGTTATCTAAAGTGCCATTGAGCCAGTTGATCTATGTTTTATCACAGCACGCCTCTTGTTATTTACCCCAGTTTTAAAGGGATGTCTGAGGCTGGGCGGCTTTTTTCATCTATATATTTGTCACTCTTTACCATGTGTCAGAAATAATGTTAAACCATCACTGCGGAAAATGTTAAGTTGTCAGTTTGGCAGTTGGCTTGATTCCTGGAAGCATATTGCAGACTATATACACTAAACCTGTTTTCTGGTTTTAAAGGACATTAGTGGGTAGACAAGCAATTCAATACATTTCTCTCTTTTCTTTTTTATGAATATTCAATGGATGTTCCATTAAGGCCATCTTGCGTTTTCCCACTGTAAAACTGGCATGTTTCTTTCAGTGAGTGACGTTAAGTGTTAAATCTCAAAATCAAGCCACATGTCAGCTTAATTTTTGAAAGGTTTGAGTTTCACCTTAATATTGTCATATCATCAACAGCACTTCATTTAGTCATCGCAGACTTATTTTGCCATTATTTTCTGTCAGGAGAAAGCTCCATTTTGCCAGAGATGTCATGCCATACTATGTTTGCACTAATGTCATTTATAGCGAATAATATTTTGTCTTGTTAGGCAACAAATGCTTACAGAGCAGATGGAAGTATAGCTCATTATAAATGTGTACATATATGGGCAACTATATTCCTTTGTATATTCTTTTATGGTGTTTTTGATATGCCACACAGTGTTAAAGCAGCAGTGAACATTATGAAGTGTCTTGAGGACCGTGTGAACACTCTCAAAAGTGGGATTGATCCTGAGGACACAGATTTGTTTTGTGTTTTTGCTGTTTTTTTAAAAAAGATGCATTTCAGAATGGCAAATTTGTGTGCATGAGTACGTTTGATGTATGAGCAAACACAAATGACATTCGAAACATTCTGTATCGAGTAGTTTTTTGCACAATTTTCTTCGAAGAAAATAAATTGAAATGTAGCTAGAACAAATGTTGTTTTTTTAATTGATGTGATTTTTGTCTTTTTAATGGGTGATTTAACAGTTTCACAGTTTCTTTCTTGTTAAGAAATTACAGTTTGGTAAACTTCAGTTTTCTGGCTTCATAATTTTCAATCTGACATGCTAAATGCACAAAAAAGTTTTCGTTTACATAATGTGTGTGTGTGTGTGTGCGCTGTGTATAAATACACACACATGCATTTATACATTTCAGAAAATGTTATGTTTATATAATATATATTTATATATCTAAATTATATGCATGTAAATAGTTCAAATGTATACTGCATGTGTGTATACACTCTAAAAAATGCTGGGTTAAATATAACCGAGCGCTGGGTTAAAAAGGGACAAACCCAGCTATTGGGTTGTTTTGAACCCAGCATTTTTTTATATGCGCACATATGTAAACATAAACTTATTTTGGATGCGATTAATCGTTTGACAGCACTAATATAAATACATATATACATGCATACATACATACACAGTTGTGCTCAAAATTCATACCCTTGGAAAAAAATGAAAGCTGTGAAATCTGCATTGTTTGTCCATCTGAACCTTTGCTCCGAAATATTAAAAGAAATCTAACATTTAATTGAAGTTTAAAAAAAAAAACAGTAAAAGTGGGGAAGAGTCACATTGTGTAATTTTTTTCTCTCTCGAATACACAATGGCCGCAATTACCTACAGAAAAAAAAAACATTATTGTTGGTGTCTTTGATACTTTTTTCAGGATTCTTTGATGAATAAACAGTTAAAAAGAACAGCATTTATTTGAAATGGAAATATTTTCTAACAGTAAGTCTTTAGTATCACTTTTTCTTATCAATTTAACACACCCTTGCTGAAAAAAAAGAAAAAAAGTACTGACCCTGAACTTTTGAATGTTAGTGTACATTGTTTACAGAAGAATTCTGAATCAATTGTGTGTGTGTGTGTTTTCTTATTTTCAGATTTATAGTATTTTTTATTAGCCTACATATGCAACTAGTTTTTTTCAGTATGAGTAATTGAAATGTAACTTGAATGTCATTTTCAGTGCTTGAAGTGATGTGTTAGTGTGATCTTCAGTTTGATCACACGATGGCGCTGCTGCATCACATGTTCACAGAGGTACTCGTGCGTTTGGTGATGCGTCTCAAACTGAGAGCATCAAATTGTGTGTGTGTGTTTATTTTCAGATTTATAGTATTTTTTATTAGCCTACATATGCAACTAGTTTTTTTTTTCAGTATGAGTAATTGAAATGTAACTTGAATGTCATTTTCAGCGCTTGAAGTGATGTGTTAGTGTGATCTTCAGTTTGATCACACGATGGCGCTGCTGCATCACATGTTCACAGAGGTACTCGTGCGTTTGGTGATGCGTCTCAAACTGAGAGCATCAAATGACATATTTGATTAATGCGAGGACAATTAGTTAATAAAGCTATACTAAAATAATTTAGGTAACAAATTCGATAAAGAGTAACAGTATTATTAAACCCCCTTCATATGCTCAGGGGGGAAAGTAATATGCTATAAATACATAGGCTGTGTTTAAAAACAATACACAGGAAACTGGTAGGGTGACACGTCATGGAATTTTAATTCTACAAATAATTCATATTTTGAAAAACACTAAATGATTCCCACTTGCGTCATGAGCACAGCGCGTTTTTCTTGTTTAAAATATTATCGGGTCTATATTTCATCTCATATATTATCCGACTTTTAAAAAAAAAAAAAAAAACACTCCACTAATAATATATAGCCTATCTTATTCTTATTGTTTTTAGTAATAATTAAAATCCGCGAGAAAAGTATGATATTAGGGTTACCTGTTGAATTCACATAAAATGTACATAATAATAATAATAGTAAGTAGGCTATTAATAATGTAGTTCATGTTTATATTTATAATAATTATGTCAGTATATACTAACATCAAGAATAAATAAATCCATTTTCCAGAAGTGTTTTTAAACATTGTAGCCAATGTAAGTTGCATGAGTGTGCAGCGTGGGAGAACGAGGGGACAAACTATAAATACAGTGGCCCCAGGGGCCAGTGCACACGGCTGCATATCTGTCAGTCACAGCTTGGAAAAATGAAATGGTTCGAGTGAGAGATGCTTTGCGCCGTGTGTGTGTTTGTTTAAGCCGGAGAGGAGCGCGTTTGTCTCAGAACGCATTCCACATAATTGCCCTGCAGTTTATTCACCAAATAACATATAGCTACTGTGATCTATAGCAGCAAATATTCGTGTTCTCGAGGTATCCACATCCTTCTTTCAAACAATCAAATGCTACAGTGCTGTCATGCATTAAAAAATTTGGAATTTCGTTTTTTTTTTCACATTCTGTATTTTTTGTATCTATGTAGCCGAGGCTACCTCATTGCCAAAAGAGGAAACAGTCCAAAATGTATCGAAATCGAATAAGATACATGTTTTTGCGAACAGGAGTATGTGCAAAATATTGAATAATATTGGTATAATTCCTATCTATGTATCATTTTGATTTATATTGTGTTATCGACCATGCGCGACTGCGTGTACCTAGGCTATATCTTCCACATAAAAAGAATCTTCCCCCCAAAGATAGCCTATGCATTCTGAATCTACAGAATCTATATTTCTTTATAACAGCACATGATATAGAAATCCGCCTGTTTTCTCTTAACTCGTTTTTGAATTAAAAAAAAACAAAAGTTTATGACCATAATAATACAATTAAAAAAATCGAATCCACAAGTCAGCTCTACTTTGAATTGTATCTGAATTTGAAACCCAGGAGCTGGATTTGAGTCAACATAGGCTGTCTATAAAGACTATCTATCTTCAAATTCGTCCGTCAAATCTGAAACATAGCTTTATAATTCCATGAAAGGTTGATCATATTTTACAGCTTAAAAGACACTTGAGGCAGCGTTTGGGTTCCTCAGACCGTCACACAGACGGGACCCTCTGGACAAGCTTCTGAAGGCGCTTCAGATACACTAGAATGAACTTCACTGTACATTTAAAGTGCCTCAAAGCCTTCTTAATTCCCAGCGCGTGGTTCCCGTTTTGGGAATCAATTCCTAACATTCTCTTTAGCCTCTTCGATGACCGTGCATTTCAATACATTTTTTTTATGAAAGGTTTATATAACGTTCTCTAATGGTTACTTTTAGGTCTCAGGTGCAAGATCTTGTGGATTTCAAGTGCCTCCTGCCTAGAGGTTTTGCAAAGAATCTGAAGAACCCCAAACGGCGTCTTGACATTTTTCAATCTTTAGTAGAAATTGAGTGCGCGTGCGAATATCAATGTGGATGCAACTGCAATGCTGCACAACATCGGCATGCAATCTCTCCCTATTAACGGCTTTCTCAAGTTCACATTAAGCTTTTAGGTGTGAACAAGACGCACGTGTTTTTATTGTCCGCGTCAAGAAGATAACTAGATGGATCAACACAGCCCCATTTTGCGGGAGGTTTGTAGCGTCTAACTCCAATCAGCTTCTTCTGAATGCTGGAGTAATGCCATCTGACAAACTGATGGAGTGGGTGGAGGAGAGAGAGAGAGGGTGGCAGCTCTGGTTGGGCGGATCTGACACTGGTTTGCGTTCGGACCGCCTCTCCCGATCCCTCCTTCAAGCCTCTGGGGCTGCTGCGCTCGTGTTTAGTTCCCCTCTCATAGCCAAAGGAAGGATCGATTCCTTTGGGAAGAGACACAAATCACTTCAATTTGATCAAGAGAGAGCTAAGGATACAGCCTCCTCTTGATTTAGCCACTTTTGAGTTTCTTTTTGTTTCTGGCCTGACAAAGAAAAATCGGGGGAAAAGAAGACAAGAGGAGAAAAGTTGTTAGGTCATGGTGACATTTGATATGAGATCTGCTTGATCGCACCAGCTGCTCCCAGGAAACATTATCAGCAGCACAAGAAAAGACGACTTGCTTTTTGTTTCCACTTTGAGTCTTGGTGACACCGGGATCTGTCCTGGTTTCCAAACTCCTTCCCATCTCTCTTTCTCTCAAGCGCGCGCGCTCTCTCTCTCTCTCTTTTACGCACGGGAGGTGGGCACCTGAGAACACTACCAACGGGAAGAGAGTGCGAGACATCCCGGTTTCATGTTTGGGATTCAGGAGAGCATCCAAAGGAGTGGGAGTATTTTGAAAGAGGAGCCCATCGGCATGAACGCAGTCCGAACATGGATGCAAGGCGCCGGGGTGCTGGACGCGAACACGGCCGCGCAGAGGTAAGAGACCCCCGGGGCTGCGACTGCGATCACCTCCCACGGAGCGCGGACCGATCTTGCTGCTGGCGTTTGTTTTGAGGAAACTCGATCCGGATTGTGGAGGATTACGCATTTGATGCGCTTTGCTTTGTCGTTTAGTGAGCTTTGATGAGTTCCTTTGAATGCAAAGTTTGGGTATACTTTGCCAAAGCTCACCTTCTTTGGCATGCAGTCACATCTGGAGGTCCTAAGACCACTGGATTGAACATGCTGGAGAAATAATAAGAATAACAATTGCCTTATAATAGCCTAATAATAATAATAGTCTAATAAAAATGATTAATTCATTAAGATTTCGCATATACACATGTATAGGCATTTTTAATTCTCCATTCAGTGGGACTAGAAATTAAACATCCACTTTATTTCAATAACACGTCTATAATATCTGAAGGATGTTTTTAACACGGGCCTTTCTGCGTGTCTTCCCCGCAGTGGAGTGGGACTGGCCCGGGCGCACTTCGAGAAGCAGCCGCCCTCAAATCTTCGCAAATCCAACTTCTTCCACTTCGTTTTAGCCCTTTATGACCGACAAGGACAGCCGGTGGAAATCGAGAGAACCTCTTTTGTCGGATTTGTGGAAAAAGAGAAGGTGAGTTTCAGCACCACGATGTCACCGGGCCACTAAATAGCCACGATCGCATACGCCTTTATGTTTTTTTAATTTTTAAATTATTTTTAAAAGTGCATATTGTATGCCTAGTAAACAGCAAAATCATGCACGTTTGAAAACCGTTGAAACAATTCACATGTGAATATAGCCTATTGAAATCATGTGTGATCAGTATTATTGCAATTGAAATAAACATTTTAGGAATTAAATCGGATAGTTATTTAACATGAACAATGCTACTACATGTAAGATTAAGGTTTAATATGCATTTCTTACATTTATAAATAAAATCCCCCGGGCCACTAAATAGCCACGATCGCATACGCCTTTATGTTTTTTTAATTTTTAAATTATTTTTAAAAGTGCATATTGTATGCCTAGTAAACAGCAAAATCATGCACGTTTGAAAACCGTTGAAACAATTCACATGTGAATATAGCCTATTGAAATCATGTGTGATCAGTATTATTGCAATTGAAATAAACATTTTAGGAATTAAATCGGATAGTTATTGAACATGAACAATGCTACTACATGTAAGATTAAGGTTTAATATGCATTTCTTACGTTTATAAATAAAATCCCAGAATAGGTCTTTTAATTTTGCATGCCTTCAAAACTCAATAACCTGTATTTTTTTTCAGCCGCCTTAACAGAATTTTTCAACCATTTTAATAGAGCAAAATGTACATATTTATAAAAATGTAGGTCATGCATTAAATGCATGTAAGGTTATATAAGTAATATCAGTAATGGCCTATAACTTACTATAATGCTTAGTGACATAACATAATACAGCTAAGAATAATTTGACCTCATACATTAAATTCAATTACTAATTCTGTTTTGTTTAGCTACACACACACGCAGTTTCTTTAATTTTTTATAACAAAAACAGTATTTGCGCTACAGCTGACTTGATTAAACAGGCCCAAACGAAATCATTTTGTAAGCGCAGTGACTTTCCTCCCATTAGTACCTATGTAGCGTATGATTTCAGACCTGTTGTAATATTATTTTCATGCACAGGAGACTACAGGTGAAAAGACCAACAATGGCATACATTACAGACTGCAACTTCTCTACAGCAACGGTAAGACATGCTCCTATTTGCGCGCGACGCACTTGCATTGATCGTGATTTGCAATTCATTGCACGAAAATAGCAACAGTAGCAGGTGCTGTCATTAGAGATCTCAATTTGACGAAGATTGGCAGTGATTTAAATCAATAATTGAACCGATGGAGACTGTTTTCTGTCTGAACAATTAAACGCAATCAGTGACTGACTCCTCGACGCCAACTAATTCTCATTTACTTTCTTCAAATCAAAGCATGGCTCTTCACAATGAATCAGTTTGATTTTAAAGCATTAATAATTCACTCAAGGTTTAAATCAATTAGAAACCCATTTCCAACCATGCACGCGGTATTAATAGTTAATGTGTTTTTCTTGGAGGGAGTGTGAATTGATCATGTTCATTAGTGTGTAATCTGACAGCCTGTCTATCATTTGTCATCTGGTCAGTTTCTAAATAAACCAGCTGTTAGTTCTGCCACCTCTCAAGCATATTGTGCACAGTGCTTTTGTAAACGTTTTCATCACTAGTTTCCATCGCAATCATTTCTGTCATTTTGAGTTTTGATTTTATTCATCAGTATTCAAATTCAAAGTATAGTTGAAAAGCAAAGGCAACTCGTCATTTTGGCCCCATTTAGATTTGAATTGAAATAATTCAACTATATTCATTTTTAAATTCAATGTGTTTTCATAAAGAATGAACCATATAAATGAGTCATTAGAAAGTAGTATATAAACTGTTAATTATGATATGTGACATGGGCAGGTGTGTTCAGTGTTAGGCATTTTTTCCATCACAAAATATCTTCCCTAAAAAAAAGTATAGTTATTTAGTTCTTTAATGTATATTTTCCTCTATAAATATAGTATTCGAAAATACTTTGTTTGACATATATGGCATATATTTAATATGTGGACATATTACAATACAATTAGGCTTGTGTTATTTCAGGAGCATTATGCTTGGTGCAGTTACAGTGCATTGCAATGGCCGATTTAGAGATAATGAATGTGAATGTGTTTGTGGAAAATGTAATGAAAAGCACGTGCTGATGTCAAGTTTCTGTGTGTTGCAGGCATCAGAACAGAGCAGGATTTTTATGTAAGGCTAATTGACTCCATGACTAAACAGGTAAGGGTTCATCTTGTCCCGTGCACCACCATCTGCACATGTCACCAGAGGCTAATTCATACATGTTGGGGCATGCATACATACTGTTTGTGCCCCGTACAGATGAATCTCACAGCGGAGAGCATGCGTATCTCCCAGGGGGAGTGTCACATTTTTACATGCATCATTGGATGTCCTGTGGCCTCTTTTGGACTTTTTGTGCTCGACGGTTTGAAAGTTTGTTTGGTGTTTAACTGTGCGGCATAGAGTGTATTTTTAGGGCACCCATATTTTTTTTTCGGATTTTTCTTATCAGTTTTTTTTTTTTGCTACACTTGCATAGCTCTTTCTAGCCTTTTCGTGAACATGTTTGTGTTTCCCGTTGGTGTGGTTCACATGTCATGCTCGGCTGCTTTCTTCTGAACTCTTGCTTGTTTCATTTCTAGTATGTACAATATGGCAGATCTACATTATTAGTGTTGCCTGTTTCCGGTTTCCTGTTTGATTTGATCTGTCTCCGAAGACATGTGTGGCCCTGGGCTAGTGTCTGGATGTTTTTTTTTGTCCTGACCTTGGATCAGCCCTAATTAGCATGTCATAGGAATTAGTGATTAGCAAAGAGAAACATATCCGTGTTTATTAGCCGCCTGCTGCAAACTGAGAAAGGCTCCACGCTAGGCTCTTTACACTTCGCTAACGGTCGCTAACTTACCTGCGGGCGGCAGCTCCCTCTCCCTCCCGCCTTGGCGGGAAACATCAAAGCGCACTAAACCCCAGTAGCTGCCACTTTGACAGCGCTAGTCTGGCAGTAGGTAGAAGAGCTGTTGTTTCCTAACTATCTGCTTTGCTGCACTTCGTGGGAGGACATGGCACTTTTGAGCGAAGTGTCGCTAGAGCACTGTTTATCAGTGTCAAGTTAAAAAATAATCACCCAGACGCCTCGGCTTCCCCCTCACAAATCTTTTGTAGTTGTTTGCCGGCAGTTTTCATGTCAGTGTTCTCGGAATATATTTAGCACTTGTATTCATTATTTTCACGTAGGTATTACAACACGTGTAATAGAAGTCACAAGGAATGAGATTGCGATCCCCTTTGCTGCCGCATTGTGTGCGGGAAGCTTTCAGATGTGAAGACAACCTATGGTTAAATCACTCGCTAAAGGGATCCGCTTAGAACTACACTTAAAGATTGGGGAACATGTGTAACGGCAGTCGGAGGATATCAAATCCCCTTCTCCAACGACAAGACAGCTAGTTACCTTGTAACAGCTCAAAAAGCACTGTAGCGAGTGATATATTTACCGCGCCAACAGCTCGGTCGGCTGTTGTCTTTGATTTCCTCAGGTGAATGAGAGCGAGAGAGAGTTCGGGATCAGATGTGGTTTTGCTCTGGGGCAGTCAGACCTGTTGAGAGGGTGAAATGAGACCTGGATAGCGGCTGACCACAGGACAGCTACAGGTGTCTCGGCCCATGTTGAGGCTCGGGCTAAAAAGAAGCTTTCAGATTGAAGAGTAGACACTCTTGAGAAGGGAGTGCGGATGTTATTCCGCTGGCAGTCGTTATCGGGTTACAGACGACCTGAGTACCCTGTTGAAAAAAACAGCATATGCTGGTTAGGTATGTTTTGATGCTGGGATGCTGGTTTAAACTGGTCCTTTGCTGGTTTATGCTGGTCCTTTGCTTGTTTAAACTGGTCCTTTGCTGGTTTAAGCTGGTCCTTTGCTGGTTTATCCTGGTCCTTTGCTGGTTTATGCTGGTCCTTTTGCTAGTTTATGCTGGTCCTTTGCCAGCACATGACCAGCATAAACCAGCAAAGGACCAGCATAAACCAGCATCCCAGCGTCAAAACATACCTAATCAGCATATGCTGTTTTTTTCAACAGTGTAATCTTTTGTGATGTTCGAATATCCCCGTCGGCCTTCTGTAATCACTCAGAAGCGGCCGTGAGATGCTAGTTATTGGACTGTGGAGTGAGTTAAGGTGCGACAGTAATGACATTTCGCAGGCCGAAAGGTCCATTCTCCGTCGTCAACGACGTATGATGCACAGCGCACACAGAAAGTCACTTTCAAACCAAGCAGTTTTCTAATGACCTTTGCGCGAAATTTCCAATCGCATGGATTCCTGGCCGAATCACTGAACACAGAGCGCAGCGCTGATTCAAATTTGTTAGCAAAACTGTTACTTTCTAAGTGGCTGTGGGAACAAATGCTAATCACAGAGGCTGCTACAGTGTTTCGTTATACTAGCAAGGCTAAAACACTTACACTCAAAACAGCTAAAACAGCTTTAGCTTGGACTGTAATTAGTGTCCAGATTTGCTGTTATACTGCGGGTACAGAGCTTATTATTCTGTGGCCAGACTGATTTACTCTTGCAACTGCGCAACAGTTACGCTTGTTATTTTGGTAGTTACTGCCACAGGCAAATTATTAGATTCAGCAGATACCGTAAACATCTCAGTGTTTTACATTTCAAGCTATAGTGCTAATTTACAGCATCTGTTGTTTTAGCTGTGGCCTAGTGGTTAGCATATGTGCTCCGAATCTGACATGCTGAGCTGTAGCGCATTTCTCTTTTGTTTTGTTTTTCATGCTTTTAACATGTATTGAACCCAGAATACTTGAGTTTAGGCGGCTGCGGGAGGAATACTTCACATACTAAGATTCTAGCATGCTAATTCAAGGAATAGTAACGTGTGTTAAGTGCAAACCCCGCCCCGCAGTTTTCATTGGTCAGCTCAATCACTTGGTCACCTGGCAAGAAAAGTTTAAAATTCATGGATTGAGTTCAGATTTCACAAATATTTCCGATCACGACAAACAGTAATGATATTTATCAGGATGTGCTATCGATGCTATGCCAGAGTTAACATTAAGGTTAGTATTTGTGTAGACAGTAAATACTGTGATTGACGTGACCAATGAAATCTTTAGAATTGGCAGTGGGGCGGGATTTGCACTTGACGGGTTTGGCGAAAATAATCACACCTTTATACCGGGATTGCAACTCATAATGGTGCACAAGAAGGAGCTGGGGACGTGGGGGGCTTTTAGGTGTGAGTTTGACAGTAAGAACTGTGATCAGCAGATTCAGCGCCGACACATCTGACAAACATAGCGCAGAGACAGCAGACCTCCCACGTTCCTCCCTCATCTATCCTACTTTTCCTTTTCCTCTTTCATTACCTCCTGGATTGTTTATGTTTTTACGATGCAGTGCGAGATGTTCGTTGTTTAGCTCGAGCTAACTTGAGCTTGAGCTAAACTTAACCAGTGAGTCAGACCACACCCTCTCTCCAAAACCCCGCCCTCCAAAGGCAGGTCAAATGCAAAATGCATTGCGATTGGCTTGGCAATACACATTTCTTTTCACGTGGCTTTATCACTCTTTTAACCCATCCACTCCACAACTCTCTTCTTTTCAGCCTTGTTTTGTTCCCTGCTCTCCTGCACAAATTCTTGCACCGTCTAGAAGTCCCTCAGATGTCGGTTAGCTGTCTCTAGAAACCCTGCCTCTATTCTCCTGTCTGTCTGCCTGCCCAACTCTTGCTCTCTCTTCCGCTTCTCTTGTTTCTCAGGCTTTATGTCTGAACAGCTGATCAGGGGTGGGGTGGGATACTTATTCGTGTATGTGAACGCTTCTGTGTGTGTGGGAGAACAAAGAATGAAATCACTGCCAAGACAGCACCTCTTTAAAGGTAGCGCGGTGGCCTGGGAAAAAAGGCAGCCGTGTTCTTAATGGCATGCTAACAGATGATGCCAACTGTGTAGGAAGTAGGTTTCCATGTATTTATAGCGTCTTGTTTACTTGCCTTCGATTTCAGACGTCACATCAAAGCCAGTGAGGAAAACGCTGGATGAAATATGAAAAGTGTGCTTGGCGAGATGAAATATGTATTACAAGGCATATGAATGTTGCATGCTTATTAATGTGCCCTTCTCGCACTTTGGCACGCAGTTAAAACTGCCCTAAATATCACACTTGTAACATTAACATAGGGTAATTTTTTACGCGCCACCTTTGCACATTCGATGTTCCTTCTAAATCAAAAAGAATCTATTTCCTGCGTTTATCACAGCACTTCCTGTTCTTTGATCGCAGTAAAACGCAGCCAAGGCCTTTAAAAGTTATCAAGATGGCCCACTTTAAGAGCCCGTAACCTAAAATTTCCCTTTTGAGAGCGCTTAATACAAACAAAATATGCAAAGACTAATTCATCTTTATATGAGTCGCTTCCATTTGTATGACTGGAGGAATTTGTGACTCTACAGGCAAAGCATTGTGTTTCATGCACTGGACAATTTTGAGATTTTGGACTATTAAACTTCCATAACAAAAGTCTTGTTTAAGACTAGTGGAAAGAAATATTCAAATGACACATTTAAGTGTTTATTTTATTACACTTTCATCTGTAGATTTCAATTACAATATCTTTAAATATCTTTTTCTTTCTGAGCCAGAAATCTCGACTTCAGTAGCACTTGCATACACCTTTACTGTTTTATTCTTACCTACTGTATATACCTAAGGTTTTGTTTATATCATTTGCTTGATTTATATAACATTTGATCACTAAAAAGTTTTTTTTTCTATTTCCCTGGCTGTTGAAAATATGATATGGTTCATAAAGTGACAAAAAGAGAGATCCTCTCTGTGAAAGCCTGTACCTGAAATAAATAAATAAATAAATAAATAAATAAATATTCAGATTTTGGCTATATCCAATATTCACGATTTCTGTTTTGCAAATGTATGCAAATTAGTGTATATTTAATTAGACATTTCTACTGTTTTATTCTTACCTACTGTATATACCTAAGGTTTTGTTTATATCATTTGCTTGATTTATATAACATTTGATCACTAAAAAGTTTTTTTTTCTATTTCCCTGGCTGTTGAAAATATGATATGGTTCATAAAGTGACAAAAAGAGAGATCCTCTCTGTGAAAGCCTGTACCTGAAATATATAAATAAATAAATAAATAAATATTCAGATTTTGGCTATATCCAATATTCACGATTTCTGTTTTGCAAATGTATGCAAATTAGTGTATATTTAATTAGACATTTCCTCATTTGCATATAAAAAAAATTCAGAAACCTTGTAATACAAAACAATCAATTTTAATGTATTGTGATTTTTAATATATTCAACTGTTTTTTGCTTTGACGAAAGCAGGATAAAAAAACAAAACATGATGTTATTATGTGAGAAAAAAAAACAATAATGTGCATTCATTAAATACGTAAAGTAAATGGTTGACTTTAATGGCGGGATATTACCCGAATTACATTTTATAACAGATTCATAATATTTTATTAAGGCATTAAAACAAGTGGAAGAATACCGCTGTTCCCGAGCACAGCTCAGCCAGAATGGGCGAAGATAGATTTGGTGTTTATAGATAGAAATATGAAGCATGTCTTTGGGCTGGCAGACAGTGATGCATGCTGTGTACTTCTAGAAGACCTTGGCCCCCATTCCCTCAAAGTGAAAGAAAACCATCTGAACAAATGCTCCGAGCTTGCCAACTCCAGCACTGGCTGTAACAATATCGCTTTCAGTGCCTTTGTATAATGTAAAGTACATCTGAAAGACATCAAACAATGAGCCAATGTATCGTCTGTCTCTGGATATTTCTCCTGTCAAATTACCCTTTTCTTGGTAGATAGAACCTTGCGTCAGTGTTTTTTTCCCAGTTGAGGTCAATGTGACAAACTTTTTTGATGCTGGACAGGCTTGCTGAATTACACCTCCGTTACATGGCAGAGAGTAATGACTGTGCGTAACGGGACAGATTTGCTGCCAGTCGGTATGCCTACGAACGAGATCCCAGAATCTTAGCAAGGTGACACGCTTGGCGTAGTCAAACGCGGCACTGTTCGGAATGGCATACCATGTCCAACATTCAGCTCGGGGAGGAGGGGGGACACACAAGGCTTTGCCAGCCTGGCAGCGCTGTGTTTTGTGTTAAGGAGGGGTGAGAGCAAAGCCTAGAAAATTTGGGAGAAAATTGGGGGGCCGTACCAGATGGTGCACCGTGCTCCAGTCTGGCATCCCAACTGCTCTCTCGCACCCACCTCCTCCAGCCTCCTGCCTCCCCCCACCGCCCCTGTGCCACACGCCACTGATGGTTTGGCACGTCACATGCTAGCGTAGGTAGTATGCCAGTGAGCGCATAGGCACTTCACATTTTTACCCATGAGTGAGAGATGCAAAAATGAAAGAAAAAGAGTTTATTTATCAATTGAAGAGATAAATACTGTTATATGAAACAGTAATATTGTGAAACATAAAATAACTGTTTTCCATTTGAATATATTTCCCCTTGTAATTTATTCCTGTGACATTAAAACTGAATTTTCAGCATCAGTCCTCAGTGTCACATGATCCTTCAGAAATCATTCTAATATGATGATGATTTGGTGTTTGATTATTATTGGTGTTTAATTATTAATAATGGCTCTTATAATTATCAATGCTGAAAACTGTTTTTGCTCTTTAATATTTTGTTGAAACCCGGGAAACCTTTTTCGAGATTATTCAATAAATAGAAAATTCAAAAGAACAGCATTTATTTAAAATATAAATGTTTTGTAACATTATAAATATCTTTCCTGTCCCTTTTGATGAATAAAAATATAAATTTCTTAAAAAACAAAAACTGAAACTTTTTAATGGTAGAGTATCACACAAATATTAAGCAGCACAACTGTTTTCAACATTTATAATAATAATAAATGTTTTTTTTTTGAGCAGCAAATCAGTATATTACAAGTTCTTTTAAATGGTAATGATGTTTCACAATATTACGGTTTTACTGTATTTCTGATTAATAAATGCAGCCTTGGTCTTTGAAACACATTACAAATCTTGTTCCAAACTTTGGACTGATAGTGTAGCCTATGCAATTATGTTAAAATTCGTAAAAAAAAATTAAATTATGTTTACATTTCTTTAACCTGTCCTGACGTACACAAAACTTAATTTGGAGACTGAATAAGTGAGTCAGATCTTGATTCCCAATCCACTCTGACTGATTCATTGAGTTATTCGTTCATTCGTAGGTGCGCTAAAAAGAACTAACTCATAAGACTTATTTTTTTCGTGAATCAAACTACACTAGTCACGCCGTATACTTTGATTCAGCAAAAAGCAGTTCGTAAGACACTTGCTTGTGAATCGGACAAGACCGGTGGCATTGTTTCTTTGATTCTTTTTACGTTTAGCGTGCAAGTATAACTAAATAGAGTTTTCTTGTGGTTTTTTTTTGTGATATGGTGTCTTTTTGAAATATTGTTTTGGATATAAATGGATAAATCGTCTTTACCTGCAGTACAGAGTCGTTCACAAGCTGCACGCACTGCTGCTTCGTCATTGACAAACGATTTTGCTATGCTTGTTTCTTACATTGAATGGATAGTAGGTAAATATCCACCCTCAATCAGAGCTAATTTTTTCTTATCTTATAAAATATGCCATTACTATTTCAGTTTGAGAAATTGTGGCAAATGATTCAGTGCGTAAGTGAACTGTCTGAATTCATCAAACTGAATCGCGATTTTAAAAGAGTGATTCATTCACGAATCTGGCATGCTAGTTCTGATTCTAAATAGTTGATAGAAAACACACAACATGATTGCTGAAATATTTCTGGTATATGTGAATCCCATTGACAAGTAACTATTTATCAGTAAAATTTTGATACAAACGGTTTTGCAACGCTATATTACAGAAGTAAATTTGTGAATAGTATTTCCTGTTGACTTTCAGCTGTATTTTTGATGAATATGTTTTTCCTTATCCATAGGAATCACTGTCATTACCTCTCCCGCTTGTTAGAATCTGAGCAACCAGTTATGTTTCGTATCATCTCCTCCACCTACAACAGGTGTTCTTCGGCTTGTTACCCATCCCTCAAATCGTTCGGAGCTTGTGCTATTGTACATCCCAGCCTCTACCACATGTTACCCCACCTCAGCCCCAAGCCCTGTAGGGAGAGTAAATACCAGAGCGAAAAGTGAAACAATGAGTCCTTCTTATCGGAGCACCTTCATTTCTCACCTTCTGTTTTCCTTTACTTAATGAGCCACGTGTGGAGCCAGAGCTCTGGACAGCCTGTCCAGAAATATTGGAACCACTTAGACGATTCCCCACGACACATACTGATATTTATTAAATACGACCAGGCCAACATGCTTTAAAGGCAGAATTACGCCTCCTCGCAGTGTGTTTCTCAAGTGGAATTGGCTTGAATGTGAGGGTGGATAAGTGGAGGAAATGTTTTTTTGGGGATGTTGTGTGGTCAGTGTCAACTTTCTGAAATATATATTTGGAAACATCTTCATATGTAATATGCTTAATTTAATTTTGATTTCCCAAAATGTTAAATAAAGCCCGTGTGAGTCCAAACACTGACTTTTTCCCCCTCTCTGTTCAAAGGCCATCATATATGAAGGTCAGGACAAGAATCCGGAGATGTGCCGTGTGCTCCTGACTCATGAAATCATGTGCAGGTGAGACTTTTTCCATTACACTTTGTCCCAACCAGGTGCGATGCGACAAGTTTCCAAGTGATTTGTATGTCCTGCTGAAAATGCTGCGTGACACGGCACAATCACAGCAAATCAGAACATATTTCATATTTAAAAATCCCATCAAACACATTTTTTTAAATAATAATTATAAATAACAATTCAGTTCATTCCACTGGCTGAAAGATCTTTTAAAGGTGGGGTAAGTGATTTCTGGTAGCCAATGTTGACATTTGAAATCACCAAAACAAACACGCCCCTATTGACACAAATTTGAAATGATTTTCAACGGTCGCTTTGTCGCATCCAGTGTACTAGACAGACTTTAGCTGTTGCGGCACAGACACGGTGTTACTCACCTATCGAGAAGAAACAAAGCAACATCGGCGTCCGATCACAGGCTTTCCGCTCCTTGAGTTCTCTCCAGCGCTGGAAAGCTGATCCGATATTTACACGGGTGCTACTTCTTGCCTTAAGCCTTCTTTTGTTCCGCAGATGTTTTCCTCTTATGTTTTTTATCGCCATCTCTATCTTTCTGTCGCTCGGCTCGCTAATTTCCGTCCTGTGCACTGAACGCTCTCTCCTCCACATCATGAGTAGACACGCCCCTTACTGCTGATTGGCTACAAGTTTGTTTTGCTAGTCGGCCCGAATCAGTTTTCTAAAGCGTTTTTGAAAAATCGCTTACGCCACCTTTAATTGGTGCTTTATTCAGTGCCTTATAAAAAATCCTTATGTCATCTGAGCAATGTTATTTTGACCAATAATGTGTTTTAAATTCTATTTTACTTATTAGTACAACAGCAAATATATGCATTGTTAAATTACATTTCTCTGTTATGTTTTGAAAACTAATAGAGTATTAGCATACTTTAAGCTAATTTTATACATACAATTTTTTGATTAGGCATTACAAACTACTACACTCAGGGGTCCTAGGCAGATTCAACTCAATGGGATAACTGAATTGTTCATGACACCGGAAAACCATAATGGGGTAGAATCCTGCAAACAAAATCATTCAAGTCATTAATATTAAGTCATTAATATTTTTATTGCAGGACTGTAAATGTTTAAACATCAACTTTATTTGGGAGGACACTAGCCAATAAACACGGACTGCCGCAAAAACTCACTCTGTGAGTACCGAGACTTGCTACTGCCAATACATCCACAACATGCTGCTGTGAGCATGTAAGAAATTTTGCTGCTGCAAATATAACATACATGAAATAACCCCATATAGCATACATTAATCACCTTGTAGCAGATCTATACAGGTGGAGCTGGGGAAGGTGGAGGGTTTCTGAAGCAAGCTGCACTGCTACAGCAAGCACTAATCATATATTTGAATGTTGAGCAGCGAGCTCATTGGCTACCGATACAGGAGAGAACCAATCAGCTGTGCCATGTGATAATGATGTCATTAGGTCAGATTGAGTTAGACCTATCGGACTGCGCCATCTAGAGTTTCATGCCAGAACTCTGTATTTGGAATGAGTAGTATGTCCAAATTCACAGAACTCATAAAACTGTAGGCAAAAAGTACCTGGAAAGTTCCGCTGAGGTTCTAAAATACGCATCTGATGGATGCTTTACTATCCACAGGAGACGAGTTGTGAATGACAGTGAAAAGACGCAACTGGCGCTCTGAGTCACATGGTCTTCACCCCCCACCTGCCAAATCAGCATTGATAGGCAATCGTGTATGTGTGCGTGCGATAGCCTGTATGTGTACCTTCAAATGCTGCCGCAATTATAAGCAGAAAATTAGGCTGTTCACCATTAATCAGCTCCACTAATTGCCACGCACCACCATTAGCCATATGGTGCCATGCCAGCTTGCAAGTACGGGACAAAAGTGCTTATTCCTATCATTTTAACAAACTAGGGGGAGAAAAAAAACAGGGAATGTGTTTCAGGATGTTGTTTGTCGTGAAACTGGCCAAAATTGTTCTTCTAAAGACTAAAGTTGTCATAACACAAAGCCAATGTCATGAATCAAAGGAATCATGGAAAGGAAACATATGTTGGGAGGCGTGTGATGGTAGCCACGTTCCAACGTTGACAGAGCCGACTACATCCTGCTAATTAGATGAGCCCATTTAGACATTTCTTCAAAAGCCGCATCAGGAAGGAAGCGTTAAGATCTAAGATGCGATTTCCTTTGGGTGTCCTACGGGACGATCTTGAAGAGGATCAGGAAAAAGATTATAACATTCCCAACCTCCCAATAAGCTAATATAGGCATGCAATAATTACTTGCAGTTGTATTTGCTAAGGCAAGTACTTATTATTTTTTCATACTTAGTGTTAAGTGTTTTTTCAAATATATAAACTCTATAAGTGCAATATAAGTGCTACTGACCTCAAATAACTTTTTTTTGATAACCACATGAAGTAGCAATTTGATAATAGGCTCAATATTGTGTCAGGTTGTGTTTTGTCCAGATCTATTAATTCATTAAAAAAATATATTATATGCAATGACTTTAATACGTATATTTCTTTGATTAGCATGTTTTAATGTAATGTAATTTTATTTTATTTTATTTTTTTATTTTAAACTGGAGACAGAACTGCTTGGCTGGTTATTAATATTTTTAAAAAAAAATTGTCATGTGGGGCAACCAACATGCAGCAAATACCCTTGAAGACCTTTATGGCTTTATGTTAAGGTCAATAAGTCTTTTAAAATATCAGATATTTTAATCTTTTTATCACAAGGCATTGTTAGAATAGGTTTGTGTAAACGCATTAAAGGTTTAGGAAAATATGTTATTACTTTTTACTTGATGGTAACATCACACAGCATTTTTGGTCGTTACATTTAACCCTTTGTTGTAAAAAAAGAATTGCTGCGATTGGTTATCACAACTTAAAATTCAACATTGGAATAAGTAATAACGTGTTGTTTCAACTTAAAGTGTTTATGCTTGACGTAAAATTATAAGTTTAGTTTAGTTAGATTGGATATCTCAGTTGTTATAACTAAATGTAGCAATTTTTTGCAGTGTGTAAATATTTTTCAAAACCAAATGAAATCAACATGAATACTGACCCATCATAGACCAATTAACCATAAAAAAATGCAACAGCAATGCACTCTCAACCACCCGCAACACTCTTGCATCATGCCAGTGAGTTTTGCATAAGAAAAATGTAGTTAACAATATTTCTCTTTAATTGTTTTGAATGTGTATCTATAAACTTGAATGCTCAAGGCTCGGTGTATCAGGAGCTAAATTGTGTCTCCCATGGGCGCTGCCGGATTTGATCATTAGGCTCCTACAACCATTAACTGGGCTGAATTGCTGAGTGCGGGGATTTCAGTCTTCACTTCACCACATGTCTTACAATACTGGGCCTTGACCAGACACACACACACACACACACACACACACACACACACACACACACACACACAGACAGAGGCACTGCAATCCCTTGTTCCAGTCCTTTGGGAGGACACTGACCTAGTTGAGGAGCCTTGCAGAAGGAGGGGCGAGAGAGATAGAGATGCTGATGTAGATAGAGAGAGAGAAATTTTAGTCTTCTATTCATGATGAGTTTCTAAAGAAAGACATTCATCATGCATACCTGAAGAAGTGTATTATATAAATCACATACACACGGTTCCTCATGAATAAGCATAGTGCATCTCATGATACGATCTGAATGTTTGTAGTCCGTGAATGAATGATAAAGTCTATTGATACGTCTAAAAACTGTGTCATTGGAGAAAATAGGGAGCTGGGAATGAGGTAACAAGAGAAACCGTGAGGTGGGAGGGTGGAAGCAGAGAGAGTTGTGGGAGGAAGAAAAACTGAAGGGGGAAAGACAATGCCAGGGGTGTCATGTGACAGTTTTGTCCCCAGCCCTTATTCAGTGTCCTACTGCCATCTGTGCGGTGGAAATGTGATGCCGGTGGTCTCCAAACCGCCACTGAAGCCCCTTGCACACCTTAAATTCTCCTCTCGTCATTCTGCTAAACCTTCATCACCTATGCAAATGCAGAGAAGGTCTAGCAGTCCCAACTGAAAGTGCTTAACGTGTTAACGTAGCGGTAACAAACTCCAATACACAAGGTGGCGATAGAGTTACAGTTTAGCTTTTAGGTCAACAATTACTAATTGATTTCTTCATACATGTTATTGTGCAAGATTCATCAGTTAAAATTATTCCGAAGAAAAAAGGTCCTTCATCTATTCGATTTTAAGCCTCTGAAACGACTTTCCTTTTTGAGTGATGTCACCAAGCCCCCGTTTAAACCCCCATCTGACTTTTGAGTTAAATGACTGTTGGATAAAATCTAGTCTAGCTTGCTTATCTAAGCATTTACATTGAGATTCTAGCATTGAGTATGTTTCTTTGTCAAAGTGTTATACAATAGAATTGTGCATGAAACTTAATGGACAAAATACAAATGCAACGACATGAAAAATATGACTTGCTAAAATAAAGGTGGTTTCGATTTTACTTACGACATAGGATGTCTGATTTAAACTGATATTTTCTTTTTTTTCAGTCGCTGTTGTGACAAAAAGAGTTGCGGGAACCGCAACGAGACACCCTCGGATCCCGTCATCATCGACAGGTAGGAAACTCTCCCTCGTTAACACTTCCTGAAAACATCTGATACTTTCATTGTTATCGTCATGCTGTTTGAGGCTGTGGTTGACGTCGCGTTTGAAGCAGTTCTCAGGACACGCTGGAGTCTTACGGCCGTCACAGTCTGTTGTGTGTGTACGTTTGAGTCACTTGTTAGTTAAATGCTCTGTCATGTTGTTTCTTTTGCTGCTATTTTTTTTCCCCACCATGTTCTTTTTGTTGTGGGTTCAGGATTGGCTTAGCCCAAACACTTATATTAATGTGCTTTTTATCGCTGTCTTTGCCTGAGTAAATTACAGGCCTAGCGGCTTTAGTCAAAGGCGAGTCTTTGTGTTAAAAGTGTTTAGTGAGTAATTTCTCTTGAGAACATGTTTGACAGTAAACATGTAAGCAATTTAGATAATATCTACATGGTATGTATTTCAAATTGAGACCTGGCCCGGTTCTGGATTATGGTTCACCCTTAAGAAGTAAAAAAAGACAGTGTTCTCTGTCTTTTTATTCTGTCTTAATCAAACCCACATGTATAATGGGCTGTGAAACAATAGACGCCAGAGACCCTTGCCCCCCCCCCCCTTCCTCCCCACCCCGCTCTCACCACCTCCCCCTCTACCCCTGGACACGCTGGAGTCTTACGGCCGTCACAGTCTGTTGTGTGTGTACGTTTGAGTCACTTGTTAGTTAAATGCTCTGTCATGTTGTTTCTTTTGCTGCTATTTTTTTTCCCCACCATGTTCTTTTTGTTGTGGGTTCAGGATTGGCTTAGCCCAAACACTTATATTAATGTGCTTTTTATCGCTGTCTTTGCCTGAGTAAATTACAGGCCTAGCGGCTTTAGTCAAAGGCGAGTCTTTGTGTTAAAAGTGTTTAGTGAGTAATTTCTCTTGAGAACATGTTTGACAGTAAACATGTAAGCAATTTAGATAATATCTACATGGTATGTATTTCAAATTGAGACCTGGCCCGGTTCTGGATTATGGTTCACCCTTAAGAAGTAAAAAAAGACAGTGTTCTCTGTCTTTTTATTCTGTCTTAATCAAACCCACATGTATAATGGGCTGTGAAACAATAGACGCCAGAGACCCTTGCCCCCCCCCCCTCATCCTCGCTACCCTGTTCTCGCCATCTCTCTCGATCCCCCGGGGCATCGCTTTCTTTCACCTAACATTCATCTCTTTAAATCCAAAATTAAACTCCTGCATCCTTTATGAATGATGTAACTGTAATTGTAATAACGTTAGCATTAATGCTAATAGGATTCTTAGCGACGCTAAAGATTTCACAGTCCTTGAGGTAGTGTTTTCATTGCCGTTAATGTTGTTAGCTTCAGGCTAGCTGTGTGCAGTTATGTGCTTTGTAATGTGGAAGCTATTAGCCGACGTCTAAGGGCATTTATTTTGACAGGTCATGGTTCTCATGGGTTGAACAAAACAATCTTTTTCCCATTGTTGCAGCAACTGTTACGCTCCATGAAAATTGCTAAACGTTCCTTTGAGACAATATTTAGGCACACGAGGTGAACATATCAAGAGCTGCTTAGCCTATTTGAGGAAAATCAGCACTGAATCACGTTTCATTTGGTCTCGCTAAAAAGGCCCTTGCTGGAATATATGCAGCTTCCCAACTTCCCTAGACCCCCTTTTTTCCATAATCTGCCCGTAACACTGGGAAAGGCCACAAATCAAGGGTATATCTCAGTGAGAATCTATTGCCGAAGGGGGGAAATGACTTGAGTTACACCACATGGAATGGTGTGTAAGAGTTATTGTGTGCAGATGACCAGACTAGGTTGATTTGTGACGTTTGTCAAAAGACCGTTCAGGCTCATTTGTGCAAATTAAACCCCACTGAGAAGAAAAAAAAAAGTTTCCGACTCTGTCAGCTCTCCCGGTTCTGCTCTGCTTGTGTACTTCAGTTTTAGACAGCAGTCAGTAAGGAGCTGGACAGTTGCGGCTGTTCGGTTTCAGCCACTGACCCGTTCCTGCAGAATGGACTCAGGTGTGACTGGAGCTGCTCAGCCGACCGCGCTCGGACACAACAGATCTGCTGCCCCCCTTCATACCTGGCTCACGTGTTTGTGGGTAGTCGACACAGTTTATGCTTCACTTGACCAGAATGGGTCAGAACTCTTGGGAGCCAGCTGTGGCTCCCTTATGCACACTCATGTGCCTTTAAACCTCACTGAGCACACAGGCTCGATATGAACAGGCTGATGAACCTGCTGGAGGATCTCATGTGCATTGGTCCCATGTGCAGTGAAAAGGCCCACTAGACGGTCTTGCTAACATCGAGGCCATCAAAAACTAAATATGTATACTACATATAGGAGCGAATCTTCAGGCACCTCATCTTTCAGTTTTGTTTTAGGGAATCATAATAGTTCTCAATTCAGTTTTTGTGCATGCATATATTATTTGTATTGTCGTGCAATTGTATTTTCGATGTAAATGCATTTATAACACTGTTGTTCTACATTAGAAAGTGTGTAAATGTGCCTTGGCATGGCATATATCCAACCTCTGTGCTATCGTTTTAGCATAAAGAGATGTTTCAACTTAGTGTAGCAGATGTTGCTGATTTTTATTAATTTTTTTATATCTGTATTGTTTGTCCTACAACTACAATTCCGATTATGAATTTTTCTGCACTGACGCAGAATTGTGATGCATTTGTGCAGCAATTTTCCCCTCCCGCACTTAATAATCCTCCCACATATATTTCTTTGCATATAAAATCTTTTTTTTTATTCATAAAGGTGAGAGTGTTTGGATGTTGTGATCTGATCTGGTTGTGTCACTCCTGATCTCTCGTCGCATGTTTCTGCAGCCCAGAGAAATGGGTCATGCAGGAAAGAACAAAAAGAAAAATAAATAAAAAGGTGAAAAAAAGAAGAAAACAATCTAATTTTGGTATGTATTCTTGGCAGCTGCACATTTTCTCACAAGCTCAATGACAGCGTCTCGATTATGACTTATTATTTCTCCTAAATGCGTAACCTAAAGAAAAATAAATCCCAGTTCCGCCTTTTCCCTCTGAGTTATTTAGCTTGGTTAATAAGGGCTCATTAGCACGCACTTCTTTCAATGAGCCGATTTGATTTCACACCAGTAATTAGTCTGGCTATGGCTAATTCTGCTGGTTTTGCATTGAGAGTGATGCTCTAATTAGATATGCAAAGAACACAGCTAATCCAAATCTGCGTTAAAAACACTAATGAACCCTTATTATGCTGTTAAAACAACTAATTTCATATTTACTAAGATTCGGATTGTAAACAACATCTGTAAACAAACAATAGCCACCCTCGCCATTTATCGACGAATATATTTGACCGAATTGTCCGACTGCGGGTTGTCGTTAGTTCTTTCGATTTATTCGCACAGGCAGGGCGAATACCACAAATCATAACCGCTCACAGAATTCGTAATGAACTCCACTGGGCGCTCCGATTTACGCCACATGTAAAACGATTCCTTTCATAGTTATTTGTCTGGATCGCTTTATTTGTTTTATTTGAACCGCTCCCTCTCGCATTCATGTGTGTGTGTGTGTGTGTGTGTGTGTGTGTGTGTGTGTGTTAGCTGTATAACATTAGCGACTCCTCAGCCGGGCCATATGTTCCTCTCGGCCTCTCCCTCTCCCGGACTGACCTTTCATCGGCTCTGTAAGATTATTTCCAATACTTTAATCCCATCTCATTGACATGGACACAAAGCACACTGACATCTAATAGACGCCTCCTCACTTTCTCCTTTCTTTAATCACTTTCAGTTCAGGCCCTCCACCCCCACCTTCCTCCACTCCAACCCCTGCAGCCCTGGACGTCTATTGTTCACATCTCATTTTATTCCAGACCCTCCCATCTCACTTCTGTTTATGTGCAGGGTGCCAAAAAAGCCTTGGATAAGTAGCCGTGTCCCTAAAATTAGCGTTAGGAGAAACAGTTTATATTTTTATTCAAAGGGAGCTGTGTACTTGCTTTACGCGAAGGACGGTAGCATGTCAATCGCCCATTTCAAACATCTCCACTTACCAGCCGCCTATTATATCTGTGATGTTAGATCCTCTGGCGCAGGAGAGGTACAAGAACGGGTGTGTGCTTTCTCGAACGCACCACCAGAAGTTACTTGAACGCTCTGCCGTCGGCTGTTAGGATGTTTCAGCTTCCACTCTCAGAGGAAGTAGTTCTCTATCCACTCTGGGATCGCGAGGGCTCTTGCTCTTGAGGGATGTCAGAAGCTGTCAGAGGGGCCGGCGAAGAATGGAATGCGAAAGTTCCCGTGGATACCGTGGGACTTCCTGTACCCCCAAGACACGGTTCTCAGCCCCTCTTGGCTGGCCTGACTCTCAGCGCTCAGAGCTCAACATCTGGATCTCTGTTCTCTAACCAAAACAACATTCACAGAGCTGATGGAGGGAAAGGGGTCACCATGCCCTTGAATTTTACATTTAATGGCCTGCTGAAAAAGTGCAGCTCTAAGCTAAAAGTTCACGGCGTGCAGGCAAAATTGATCTTTTTACCTGTTTTTGCCTTAGAGTTAAAAAAAAAATAAAAATAAAATGTATGTATGTATATACAATATAATATAACTTGCTGTGCATGATTATTTTTGTAAGAAATATGAAATATGATCAAGTAAAATTTTTTGCAATTTTTGCAAATTTGGACACATTTAGGAATAATTCAGTGTTGATAAAAAATCTAACTATGTGACATTTATTTCAAAGAAAGATAGCCAAAGCACTTTTCAAGCAAAACATTTTACAAAAAGAAGCATGTTAAAGGTGAAGTGTGTAATTTTGGCATACCATATAACAGAAGTCAGTTTTTACCTTAAAAAAAACAAATTAAATTAAATTATATATATATATATATATATTTGTAATTACGACTTTATATCTTAACGTGGCTTGTAACTGTTATTGCACTTTTATTTCTCATAATTGTAAATTAATTTCTCACTAAAATTGGCGTTATTTCTGAAA